AAAGCCTGCCGTATCCAGAGTGGCAGTCGAACTCAACAAACGTTCAGCGGACTGATTCTGTCATCAAGACAATTGCATCCGCATTCGCTGGAATCCCCCAGGTGGTATCTATCATTGCTCCATTAAACGAGTGAGTCATATTTCCTGTGAACCGTAGGAGAATGTCATTAATGTGGCTGTGGTGAGCAAGGCCAGCTGGATACGATGGCTCTGCTGTATTAGATGTCTTGACACAATACTATTATGATTCGTACGGAAACATCAGGTATTTCTCGACCGGCTATCAGGTACACGATGGTGGCTTATTCTTTCAATATGATAGGTTTCCATTCGGCACATCCCAGGAGAGTGACATAGTTGTTCTTTTGCATGACGCCTTTCAGCCTCTCAGGTATGGGGTCAACTTAGAGAATGTAGTATTGCTGTCTTATCTCGACCTTGATAGCTATTGGAAAGGTTATCAGACTCCCCCGGGTTGGCAAGGCGTCGCAATGGACACACATATTTATCAAATGTTCTCGCAATCGGTGCGTTGTCAAAACACATGAAGAATACCGATATTAATTTATGGCCAAAGGAGGTTGCCTACTCCGATTCTCAACACATCGCAGCTGCATGCGCCTATTCCTCAACCCTATCTGGATTCGATCTCTGGCTTATCGTTGGAGAGTGGACGCCTGCCGCCACTGACTGTGCTCCTTACTTAAACGGACGTGGAATTGGCTCTCGCTACGACGGAACATACTCAGGGTCGACATACGTCGGCAGCTGTACTGGTCTGACGGGTTCAGCATCGACATTTAGTGATGAATATAAGACGTTCCTGCGACAGTACTGGGAAGCTCAGGTATAACCATCCCACATTGACACGACACTATTTTGGTATATTGGCTGACTTGCTCATTTCGTTTGTCAGGCCATCACGTTCTCGTCGGCCGCCCAGGGCTGGCTCCAATGGACATGGAAAACGGAGAGTGCGGACGAATGGTCATATCAAGCTGGGCTCGCAAATGGCTGGATTCCACAAGATCCGACTGATTATCTATACCCAGATATCTGTTCCTGATGGAAGACGTTGCGCCGGTGTCCTACTGGATATACTAATGAGTTGACGCAGATGGAATTCTGCCCTATAGCGGATGAAGCTGGAGACGAGCCTCGGCCAATATTGGATAGTCTTCAAGGCTCTTCTCCATACTGCATATAATCTTTTATCTCGACTGTTAGACTCGTCTTGAAATGGTGATTGTTCTTGGGGATTGGTTACATGCACAATAATAAATTCATGGTTATACTTACACAAGGTTAAGTTTCGGCGCTTATTTATGGTTACCCTACTGGTCACGCACGTGATGAACGCGGAACATGAACGAGGGTGAGACGCAAGTTGCTTGACTGGAAAACCTCAGCCGGACTGGCACTGGATCACCAGGCCGACAGAACGTCTAGACTTCCTATATATTGTCTTGTTGCGTGGGGCGAGCTGGCTTAGCCTCTATCTATCTGATTCTTAGGTCCTAAGCTGTTTGCCTGTTCTAGACTGCCTGGCGCCATGAAGGTCGGTATGCTTATCATCTATGCAGGGCTATACACCGTATCTTTCGCCGCAATTCCGAAAGGTCACGCTGCGCACTCTCATGCCTCTGGGAATGATCATAGACGTGACCTTACTGGGCTGTTTGGGGGCTGGGACGATAACAGTCAAGGCGGGGAGACACAACAGGACGGAGGGCCGGGGCAACTTTCCGCGGACGCGCGCCCCACAGGCACGAATATTGCAAAGACAGACAGTAATTCAATCAATCTACTCTCTCCGTTTACTTCCGAATTTTCATTGAAGACGAAGAGCGTTAGCACAATGGCAACTTCAACATCGGCGGTTTTTAGTTCCCAAGCTACATCTGTTTCGAGCCTGTTGGTGTCCACATCTACAGCATCGATTACTTCTTCCCTAGGACCGGTCCATTCGTCTGGCGCATTATCCGCTACTTCCTCCGGATCATCGTCCACTTGGAAGATTGTCGGAGTCGCAGTAATTTCTTTCACTGCCGTCGCCCTAGTGCTTGTCGCGGCAGTTTTCTTCGATCATTGGCGGAAATTCATGCGAGACATCCTCTGCAGGCGACGTTCGGACGACGGTCTGGAAGAATTGGTGCCTGACTGGGAAAAGGCTAGCTGGGAGGTGCGCTTCAAGGACGACCGGCATCGGTATCCGTCATTCGCCTCGATTCCTGTCCCTGTGACATCGGAGAACGGACAGTTGCAAAGGAAGGCTTCGGCTCAAATTCAGGATTGGACCAAGTACAAACGCCTCTCTAGTCAGATACTTCAGAATAGTTCCGCCCTCGTACCAGTTGAGAAGATGATGCCTTCGGCCGGCTATCCAGCGCCTATAGTGAACGCCTACCTCAGTCCTCACTCGAGACCTAATAGTTCGAATACTGTGAACCCTTTCATCGACGGTCCGGGAGCCCCTACCCTGGCAAGCTCGCCTACCATGAGCCCGATATGGAATAGGACATCTTCAACCTTAAATGTGCGTCCCAGAGTGAAGCCGTCAAGCGTCAATCCCTTTGTCGATACGGCCCTTAAGCCTTGTTTGTCACCGGGCGCACACGACGACATAAACCCTCGTTGAGGCGTAGAATAGGGATGATACCCATTGTCTCATGACCATAATTCACCGTACTCTTGTCTACGTCTATCCATCCTACCATCGTATAATAGATCTCGCGTTTGTTATCTTGATGTGACGGCTTTATGATGAAGCAACATCATTTGCAGAACTTTCTGCTACTGGAGACTTGTCTGGCGAAGACATTGCTATCTCCAAACGGTTGGAAACATACATTCCCGTTAGGGCGAAGGTTGTGATTCCCAATGAAATGTAAAGTCGCGTTCTCGCAGGAAGCACTAAACAGTGCATTATGAGTCAACACACCGTCGAGAGACCGACTGGCAAACAAGCACTAACCCGCCCATGACTCCCATATGGATCGTTGTTGCACCGGTGCAGTACGAAACGAGCTCCTTTCAGTATCCATCTTCAGCTTCCCTTTAGAAGCCTGATCCATGGTAAGTAATTTGAAGTATACGCGAGTGACGGTGAGATATGAGTGATCTGGAGCACCGGCGTAAGTGAGCGCTAGCTGAACCACATCACGCCTTGGTCTAGTCCTATCAGTTGCTGCGATTTCGATTTCCACTTGCTGATTCAGAACCTGGATTATGTTCACTGGTCTGGTGTGCTCTATATTTTTATTTTGGAAAGGAGTCTCAATGTCAACAACTTTGATCCCCAGATTGAACACCTTGGAGTTGTGTCTGCCATCGAGCACGATGGCGGGGGATGCACCTTGACTATCACCGATTCGGCAGCAATTTTGTCTGATTGCCACGCTGGTGACTCCATCGCTGTGAACGGTGCGTGTTTGACGGTGACCGAATTTGACAAGCAGGAGAGGGGTGGGTGGTTTAGAGTATGGTTGGCCAATGAAACGTTGGAGAGAACGGACCTAGGTGAGGCCTCGTCGCCCGTTATCTTACCTTTCCTTCACGACTTCGGTGCGGTAGGAGAGCGGCAGATAGGTGACCAGGTTAATTTGGAGCGTGCAATGGGTGCACACGTCCGTTTTGGTGGACATTTTGTTCAGGTTGGTCCACTTTCCTCACAAGTTTTCCGACGCATAGCCTGGGGCCACTGGCTGTGCGATTAAATCATGTTGTTCTGCTCCATTTTCGGAGGGAAACTTTACTACTGGAGTCTACGATGGATGCCACATAAATGCGTGGTATTGCAACACACAATTAACGTGACATCACAGGCACACGTCGACACAACTGCGATGATCATCAACAGAGTATCTGACGGGGATTCTCTGAGGATATTATTCCAAATCCCTGAAGCAACAGCAGACCGCCCCTCCCTCCTCCCTTATTTAATCCCTAAGGGCTACGTGGCCATAGATGGCACATCTCTCACCATTACCTCGGTAGACGACGAAAACCGAACATTTGAGATAATGTTGATCAAGCACACACAAGAAAAGATCACGCTGAGCGGGAAGCCTATCGGCTCGAAAGTGAATATTGAGGTGGACATGGTTGGCAAGTACGTCGAGAAAAGCGTACACGCTGCTCTAGGTGAAGGGGGAGGAAACGTTATGAAAGCGATGATTGAAAAAGTAGTAGAGGGGGTTTTAGTCAGAAAGGGACTTGTCTGAAGGATACACGACTGAAAGTAATACAAATTTCAAGTGTGCGACTAGTGCTTTTGGGCGAGATGACACTTGCCATAAATGGACAGATCGGGTACTGTGTCCGAGTATCGCCAAGCTCGTCTCCCCGAACATATTACTCTGTACTCCCAACCCCTGCGCGTCCTTTATTTCTGACGCTAATTTATCGTCTCTGTTTGGCCCCTGGGTCTTATGGAAGGTTACCTCAAGCCTAAGGTTCGCAGTCGACAGGTAGAAGGACCAAGTGCTCGCTGAGATGGCTTTCCAGGTCACCGCGAGAGTTGACTATGATCGAACGCGCCCTGCGTCACCGTTCAAGCCCCAGGTCTCCGCTGCATCCCCTCCTACTATAATGAAACCCAAGGCGAAGGTGAATAGCAGCGCGACCGCTGCCACTCGCAGGGCACCGAGAAGCATGTCCCCAGCTGGTGCGACTCGGAGCAGTGGCATGCCTACCTCTCGTGCACCATCGCCATTCAAGCAGGTCTATTCTAGCCCATCCCACTCGCCCTCTACCCCGAGTTTCTTGAAGGCGCGTGTGACGACGCGGAATAGCAATTCACAGACATCGTCTACTGTCACAGAGACTCGCCAGCGGGCGCTCACTACCGTGCCTTCCGACTCAGCTCTATCTGCACGAGCTCGACAACGGCGAGGCAGTGTTTCTTCTAATCTATCCCATGCTACTTCTCCGACGCACTCGGAACCACATGTTAGAGGTCCGTCTTCTCCCGCTGAAGAGAACGGCTCAGCTATGTCGGGAGTCGGGAGGGGTGTCATACGTGTGAAATCCAAGGTGTCGAAGGTTGCAGAGACAAATGCACAAACGCCATCCTCTGTGACTTTATCCCCATCACTTCCTTCCAACCGACAACCTCACGCGCGCGTTCCGAGTCTTTCTCTAACAGCTCCGTTACTGCCCGCGAAAGTAAATACTTCACCGATCGCGACGTCGGCGCAACATCACCGATTTGCTACCACTCGCGAAAATACAACACATCGGCCACATACGTATCAGCCATTTCCTTCTAATGACGATCTTGCTGTTAACTATGGTGGCTATCCTGCACCTGTCAAAGTTGACCCAACTACGATCCCGTTGCCTCCTCAGTCGCCACCAATGTCAACAGTCTCTCTTTCGTCGCGTTCGTCGGCATCTCGTTCATCTGTATCGTATGATACACAGCATTCTGAAATCAGTCGGAGCACGGCTCCTACTGTGCATTCACGTTTAAATGGCCACACGAATATACGACATCCAGAGCAGGTCTCTTCACCTCAAGTGAGTTTGGATGGCTTGGGCATTCATACGGAACTCATTTCAGGAGAGGCTTCTTCAAGTGAGACGAGCTGGAGCGGAGATGGCATGGACCTCCACGCCTCCAACGAAGATACGAATGACCCAGATCGCAAGTTGAAGGACGAGGCAAAGTCAAACAGGAAGGTGTGTTTTGCATGCCCCGTAGGTGACTTCATATATTGAACAAGCTTTCTATTCGTGGCAGATTGCTGATCTAGAAATCACGAACCGTTCCCTCCTCGCAATCAACTCTTCGCTTGAAGAGGCGAAACACCGTCAGGCGAAGGAAATTCGTGATCTAAAGCGCAAGCTCCGTGCTTCACGCCTCATTCTTCCACCTCCCGCATATCGTGCGGTGAAGTCGTCACTTCCCCATGATGATCTCGCCGAAGATGATGATGTTGTTGAAGACGAGGATGTCGAAGAAGAGCAAGCGATTCTTGAGGGGAAAGATGATGAACCGTACCGCCGCGTCAAGATTATGGTTGAGGGATTGCTCGAGTCTTGCCAGCGTGCTCTGGAGTCGAAGCCTGAGGACTTCGCTGAATGTAGCAAGGGCGGCGCCAAGGTCCTTACTGAGGAGGAAGTGCGCACATGGCGTGGAGACAATGTCGATGTCAGTTCTGGCTCATTTGTGGAAGTGGATCCGGATGGGCTACCCCAGGCTGGCCCCTCTGAAAACCCCAGTGATCTATCATCCACTGTTGCGGACTACCACGACGATCTAGGGAGTGAGGACGATGTGGAAATATCCTTACCCAATGACAATGACGTATCTTCACCAACATTACCCCCAATCACGGTCACTCCTTCGGTTTGATACACGCCTCAAAGCATCCTCCCACCATCCCGTTCTCGAGACGCACATTATGGCTGTACGTACTATCTGGATTTTATACCCGTGCAAGTTTCCGTGTCTCGCCATAGTTATCGCACTGTTGTCCACGTCTAGTCATAGCACTCCACGCATGTTGCCCTCTAATTCGCATCGCATTAGTAGCATAGTTGCTATATATCATTGTCTGTTCGTCTAACATAGATGGTTTAGAGGTTGTGTTAGATATATGCTTCTGTCATTGGGATTGTGAAGTTCTCGTATGGTTAGCCGTGTACTTGGAAGCGGTCCGACGCGATTGCCAGTGATCTCAAGCAAATCTCAGGTTTGATTATGTAATTGATTCTTTGGCTGCAGGAGCGCTTAAGCGCGTGAAGCACATGACTCGACGCGTCGCGTTTTGAGGTGGCTCATGCGCGTTCGCCGGTTCTGTCATCGCCGACTCCGTCCTCAGGATTCTTCAAGACTATACTATACGACTAATTGATAAAATCACTCTAACGCGATGACATATTATGGTAAGGAGGCGCAATCTTACCAGATATTGTATAATTCAATTCATTTGGCCCAGGCTCGGATTATCCATCTCCCAAGCGACAACGGCTCTCATCGCCAACATACGATGACCAGTATTGCCTCAGTCAACAAGACATCCAAGCATTCGACGAACTTGAGCGGGAACTGACACAACAATCATCATCCTCGCACAGACTGTCCCAACTTTCGTCTCCGGCGGAAAAATATAAGAGGGATCCGGCCATACACGTTTTAAAGACCCCCGAGAAGCACAAGAAAATGCATGGCATTAGTATGGGAGCAGATAAAGGTAGGGGCGCATAGTTTTTCATGCTGCATATATCCGTCTCACTTCCATGTAGCATTTTCCGATTCGCGTTCACGAGACAGAACTGCATTCGGATCCTTTGATGTTTCGCTCCCATCTGATGACATTACAATTTCGGATGATATTACAACTCTTAAATCTGCGTCCTCTATTGGTGTAGATTCTACATCGTATCCTGCCCACCAAGATCGCAGGTCAGAGCCTGTCTTTGACAGCCATCCATCTCTTTCTGCTCGGAGGATGGGCTTTGGTTTCGCCTCGACTCTCGATATATCTGATCCTTTAGGTGAACTCGATGACCCTTTTCTCTCTTCTCTAAATGCTCCTTTTCCACAAGACGAGTCCTTATGGTTCACATCGAAGACTGTTTCCGAAGGGGGAAACGGATTTCGATCAGCAAATACACTGAAGAACAAGAGTGTCTCAGATCAAGATACAGAGCTCTTTCCAGTTGCCAGCGCTGCCTTGCCTCTTTTTATTTCTGGACGACGTGCACTTGAAAGCTCCCAGGCGGACTCCAACGTCAATGACCTGGGAGGAAAAGTAGGGCCCGACCTACCCGTGTTCACCTCTGGGCTCGACTCCTTTCAAGCTGAGCGCGCAGACATCGGTAAAACGAGAGACTGGACCGTGCCATCTGCGGAAGCCCTAGCGCGAGCCGCGGCAAAGATGAGACGATGGCAGAAAGAGATAGACGAGGATCTCGTTGACCTTTCGGAGATGGGTCAAGAGGAAGTACCACCTATCACACCGCTCCATGCTTCGTTTCGCCCTGCCTTGCGGGTCGTGGAGAATTCAGCTTCTCTCGCGCAACCTCCGGATAGCCCTAGTCCGGCCACGACAGGAGCCAATGTCAGAAAGGCTAAGATGATGCCTGGAGGACTTGGAGTTTTGGGGAAGCGCAAGGAATTCAGATCCCCGTTGATTACTGCACCCCCTGCCATTACTGCACCCCCTGCCAAGTCCGGGTTGATTGTCACACCCTATCTCGGCTCGCCGCTGAATCCAAACAGACATGTTCTCAGTGGTTTTAGGACCCCTACACTGCCTGGAGAAAGCTTGCAAAGCTCATCTAGTGTCTCCACGCGCCCTCCCTCGCTCACGAAAGCTCTGGGTATCACAGCTCGTAGACCGGGTCTCGGCGCTGCCTCTAGTAGGCCGAAATTTGTGACGCCATTTAAACCCGGGATGGGCCCTAGGGAGCCAGGTCGGGAGTTATTAGACCGCAAAGTTACCGATCAGAGAGCGGCCGCTAGGGATAATGGAATTGACGTATCTCAAACGACTGGTGTAACCGCGCTTGACAAAGGCAAAGGTAGAACTACATACTTCAATCTTTGTGAGATCTTATTATGTCAGAATTTATCGCAAGCTGATGCCTGCTATCGCTGCAAGTTTACCCAAGTTCATCCAGCAGAATGAGTCTAGCTCCATCGAAGCTCGTCCCTCAGTCTCATAACAGCGACGAGCTGTCCTCTATGGGCATGTATGTGCAATGATTGTTTTGCCTACACGGGATCCTTTCACTGATACTCTTCTAGCCAGGTCAACGAGCTGAGCGAGATTACTCCGGATTCAGCCATATATTATTCATTTCATTCCTCTACGCCCACACTCCCAGCCACAGAAAATCAAGGCAAGGAGACGACCTTTGGAATAGAAGCCGCGTTTCAACGACTACAAGAGATGGGTTGCTATCTAGCCAAGAAGGAATGGGTTTATAATCATTGGGGACTTATTTTATGGAAGCTTGCCGGTATGGTATGCCTTCAACCTCATCTTGAAAGTGACCCAGCGACCAGACGTTGGTGCTGGGAAGAGGTCATAAAGCAGTTATTGTACAGGTGAGTGGTTATTGAATGTCTGTGTGTATGCTAACAACGATATACCATAATTCTTCACAGATATGAGCGTGAGCTTAATGGAGGAACTCGACCTCCCCTGCGACTAATAACCACCCATGATGCTCCACCGTCATGTCCCATGATTTTATGCATATCTGGCATATCTTGGTGTTCGGATGGTGATGAAATAGATGGCCTCCCTGAGCTCGAAGTCACGGACGGATGGTACAAAATTCGGGCTAAGGTGGATGCGCCTCTTGAGCGTGCCATACGAAGGCGTGTTATTCGTGTCGGTAGAAAGATATTTGTCGCCAACGCTCGGGTACGTTGATATTTGTGCGCATTGCTTACTGCTGACTTGACATGTGTACTAGCTTATTTCTGAGAACAAAGAGCCTGCAGAAATCCTGGAGGCGTACTCGACGATGAGTTTAGAATTGAATGGAAATTCCTCTCATTTAGCACCGTGGCACGCGAAGTTGGGCTTTGTGCGATATCCATCGATCGCGACGCTAGATAGCCTTACCCCCGATGGAGGGGTTGTGTCACTTGCGGCCTTCGCCGTGCTCAAGGTATTATGGCAAACGGATATGTTGTCGCTCCTCGCTAATCACACTCGTTAGGCCCACTCCATCTTTTACCTCGAAACTATTGAGCGTGACGGCGAAAAGCTACGAGAAGGACCTCGCAATGAGGAGGATGAAGCCACAGCTGAGGATGAATGGCAGGTGGGTAGCATAATTTTGTTGCACACTGCGCCTGACAATCGCACAGAAACAAAGAGAACTAGAAGCATCCAAATTACATGACGAATTCCGGAAGAAAATGCATGTCTACGAGCGATTTGCGGAAAGATTTGAGGCGCGTGCGGGACGCGGCTGGTCTCCTAGAAAAGACGGTTAGCATGGCGGAGTAATATTCAACAGCAAGTTTTAATACTTACATCTCACTTACTAGCCTGCGAGCCTTCTGATACTGAAGATCGCTGGTCCGGCTTAATGGACGACCCATCTTCGATCGGAAACATACTTAGAAGTATACAACCGGACGCTGCTGGTTGGTTGGGTTTGCACATCCGTGATCACATAGCCAAGGCCCATGAGGCAGCTCATGATCACATACAGAGACAGCTAGACGTGAGTTATGGTCGCTTGATACTGCTTGTTTGAATGCTCACTCTAAGAGCAGGCCAGTTATCCTCCACGCGATGTCGTCAGTTTCAGGGTGATTGTAGTTAAAGATTTACGTTGGCGGAAGCGCGAACCGTTGCGCAAAGCTGTCATAACCGTTTGGGATGCACTAAGTGTCATGTTGACCGACGGTGCTAAACCAGGCCATTTTGAAGCAGGTCAGCGATTCTTGGTACGTTTTAATTGCAAGGACGGTCTCAGCTTCGCTGAGTTGAAGCCGATAGGTCACAAATCTTTACCCAACATCCCAGAATGCATGGATGTTGCCAGGTGTGGATGCAGAAGTTTACCTGAGGACAAGGAGAGAGTCGAGGTTCACTTTGGTAAAAGGATGATAGTGCGTAAAACCCTTTTTCGACCTGTTAACTTATTTCCCCTCGCTGCTTTGCAACTGTCTTATGTTCCGAGCACTGCTGTATGTATTAGATCGATGATGTACTGTGTAAAGACCGCAATCAATGTACTAGAGCGAATCATCAATATCCCCCTATGCCATATTTCCTCAGGACGGCACGCCAATCTCCAAGATCTTCCTTGCCCATACATACCACAGTGGCCTTCTTGGCCGTATCAGGGCTGAATATCCGCGCAGCCACCGCACGAAGGGACTCTGGAGTGACTGCGTCAATCTTTTCGCACATCTCTGATACAGGGACCTTGCGGTTATGCACGAGAACCTGTCTGCCGAGGTCTTCCACTTCGACCGCACGGCTCTCGAGCGCCATCATCAGACTGCTCTTGAGCTGATTTTTTGCGCGGTTCAGCTCTACACGACTTGTAGGTGTGTACAGCAAGAGGCTGAGCTGGTGCACAAGGTGGGGGAAGATTTGTGCAGGCGAGTTACCTTGACGACCCGCTGCGGGCACGAACGACGCGAAGAGCCCAAAGAGTGACGAATCTGTGTAGATGTGGTGGAAGGACGCGCAGTGGTCAATTTGCGGATAGTGATTGAGTATATGCGTGTACAGTCGCGAGTACATGCCCTTTCCAGGGCCGCCTACAGAAAACGGTCGGTGATGAAACGCATACAAGAATTATGTACATACCAGCAGAAAAGCTGCCTCCTCCTCCTAAGAGGACCTGCATAGTGGCCAATGCATAGACGTCATCGTCATGAATGCCGACGCCTTCGAAGGAAAGATAGACATGATTGAACTCTAAAGTTGGATCATGTAGGAACCGATGCCCTCCTGTATACGTCGCAGTCGAGGGCAATGGCGGAACAAGGTGCTCAGGGCTCACGCCGGTTGGATACAAATATGAGGATGCCGCACGGGTGAGCGATTTGTACAGTGAGGGCGAGGAGGAAGGAAGAAGCTGGGAGGGCACTTGCGGCGTGTTTGTCGACGGCCGGGAGGAGACTTGAGGTTGAGGCGCTGATTCTGGTATATGCTTGAGTGATGAAAAGCATTTGTCCGCCAGCTCCACGAGCTGCTCATGATGCATACCAGCACCAGCGATGACCATGCGCTCGGGGCGATACCACTGTGTCATGAATGCTCGCATCACAGACTCGTCCACGACGTCGATTCGGTGTTCAGGACACAGCAGCGGGTTCCCGAGAGTCTTCTCGCCGTAGGCGACCTCGTGGAGAATTTCAGGGAGTATCATTTCAGGCTTTGCACTTACTTCACGAAGTTCATAGCGTGCAGCCTCCCGCTGGGCAGCAATCTCGTCTGGCAAGAATGCAGCATCTAGGACAGTGTCGGCAATGAGAGATACGGCAAGAGGGGTTGCCTGGTGAAAATGAGACGACTGGTACATGATGGATTCACGGGAGGAGGAGCACAGAATCTGACCGCCTAACTTGTCGACTGCGTGCGCCATCTCCTCCTCGGAGCGAGAAGTGGTCGTCTGTACATGAGAAGACGTATAAGTCGCATGGCCCTTATGGAACATAGCTACGCACCTTGAACGCTAATCTGTCCAAGAAGTGACTGACGCCAGATGTCGAGGGAGTTTCATAGCGAGAGCCGGTGTCCACGTAGAGCCCTACAGAAGAGAAGTGCCCAGGCGTCGACTCCGTAGCTACGCGAATTTTATTGGGAAGAGTAGTGATCTGTACGGTTGGGTTGGCATTGTCCTTTGCAGAATTGTGAAAGAGCCGCTGTCGCCTGAGACTGCCCCGGAGGATGGAGGACGTTGCTCTCCGCATGAGTGTGATGGTTAGAAATAGGCGAGTCGATGAGTAACGGAGGCCAGCACTTGCCAAGGCACGTGAATCCTGAAATAAAATACTGCTCCGAGTTTTATTGCAACTTTCAAAGGAGCCTCAGGCTGCTATTGACGATCGTTGCTATATGCCTGTAGATGCTATATTCTATACCTTTCACCCCTAGATGTTATCTGTTCTACGCAACACATAAACATAGTCATGGACGGTCGGCGCATGAACCCCTGCTTTAGACATCCCCGAAGGAGCCGCAACAGCCTCACATATCTCCATATCCCAGTATCTGCTTGTACGAAGGACCCCTGCTCTGTCTTCTCGCCCATTCGTCCCTAGCTCGGTTTTGAGCGAGGGGAACCGATTTGGGGAGTACGACAGCGAAATCCAGACGCCTCCAGGCCGGACGAGCGATGCCAGGTGGAGAGAGAGGAGTTCGATGGGGTGCATACTGGGAGGGGCGTCATGTTCCGCAAGGTATGCCTCGAGAGTAGGATGTATGTCTGCACGGGTTCGCAGCTCATCGAGACGGATGTCCGCGCCGCATGCAATCGCGTCCGATGTGCTTTTGTCCATCACAGCTGCGAACAGCTCGGTATTCCTGCCACTCGCGTGCCCGCCGGTCGTTGGGCTGATATCAACAAGTTGTGCTATGTCTTTCCATTTGAGGATGTCCGTTTGCACCCACCGCACCCCGCCGCCTCGCTGTTCCTGCGCCCTCGCGATCTCTGCCTCCACCCCTCTCTGCACGGCAGTTTCTGCGTAATCAGTGTTTACTATCACATGGCTCCCAACGCCCATGGTATCTCCGTAGACATCATAGTACACCTCGCGAATGCGATCGGACAATGTCGAGGTACCGGCACCGATATGCAGAACACGGGGAGGTGTCTCTGATGGATTAGACTGCTGCTGAGAGCGTAGGAAGGTGCGTAGCTGCGGTATTAGAGTATGTTGTCCATCCCCGAGCCATTCGAAATGTGACTCGGTCTTGAATCGACTATCCCAGAACGATTGCAGATGATATTCAGGAGGCATATCAGCATCTGCGGTAATCTTGATTGGGCCATTTCATACAACCATGACAACTGACACAGATTTCCAAACGCTTGCGCCACAATTCAATTATACGTTCCCACTTATACAACATCATGACAACTAATGTGCAGCGTGAACAATGGTCGCCAACAATAGTCAGTAATTTACGCGTTCTTTCTCTTTTATCCAGCCGTCTTCAATGACTATAAATCTTCCTAAGCGGCTTTAAAAGACAGCACAAGGCTCCGTCCTGACTTCGCGAACAGAAGTGGGGGTAATCTCATAGTACCAGATACCCATAGTGGTGTTGCAGGTTGAGGGAGTATCTGAATCAATACTCTTGAATCGGCCAAATTGTTCCTACAAGCGAGCTCGTTGAATCTGGTGACGATGCATGCAAGCTTGGCAACGTACCGTGCCCATTACGTGGTTATAGTACCAGACTTCTTCCAAATCGGTACCATACTCGCCTCCACAACCAATATAAGGAATGGCTCCCGTCTGAGACTTGAGCGCGTCTTCGATCTGTTTGAGACTATAGGTAGTCGTGTTCGACGGGTAGATACCAGCGCTTTAGACTAATGAGTCAAAGTCCTCGCTATTAAATTCACAGTACTCACGCAGCAAGCATGTCAAACGTAGGGAACTGCTGGAAGGCACGGACAACAGCGAGGTAGAAGTCGATGACTTCCTGGTGTTCCTTGTAGTCGGGGCCGTAGCAAGCAACATCAAAGGTTGACGTGCATGTTGCATGCTTCGAGAACTAGATAGTAGGATCAAGACAAGGTGAATATCATCACCGTCAATTCATGTATATCCTACCTCATGAGCCCAGAAATCAGAGTTGGATGCGCCTTGGTTAATCCAGTACTTGCTCACTATAGACAAACGGTATAAGGGAGTGTCATGCACTGTTTTCTTTATGGTACTGACTGTAGTCGAGAAGGTCGAACCTTCCAAACTCAAGGATCCAGCTTTCGACGGAGATACCATGGTATGGGGGTATAATTGTGCCGTTGGGTAGAACAGCGGGCGACGGGTCGGGGTCGTACTGCCTCGAGAAATCGCAATACTGGTTGTAAGACCTGGTAGAAGTCGCGTTAACGCGGCGAGATGGTGGGAACAGACCTAACATACCCATCGCAGTTATCGGGCCATAGACCATGGATAGTCCAGCTGTCCTTGGGCAACAGCTGGCCCTCGCTTTCCAAGCCCGTATATGTGCTCCAGAATTGGGACTGCAGAACAACACCTCCGGGAGTGGGCGAGCAGCAAGTGTTTTTGATCTCCGTCTTGTTTTCGCAAGAGTAAAACAATGGCTCGCTGACGCAGGAGGAGATGTTGGGGAACGTGTTGTAGACTGGGATCTCCAAGCCAAATCCAAAAGCATGGGCCTGGGACGCGAGGGCGACGGCGGCAAGAAAACCTGCTGCTACGGCCATTGTGTGATCGTCTGAAGCGGGCAGAACGTCTGGCAAAAGCAACGTCGAGGGCGTGTTCCCCCGCGATATTTATGCTAGGCGACGTTGGAACGTGCTATCTCGGTAGGAAAATAGGCAGACGGATGCACATGTCGTGCGGGTAGCTGGACATACTGTATCCATCACGTCCCGGGACAAGTGATGTCGATGTCGACGAGACGATGTATGATTGGGCACCTGGAGTGATAAGTGGCGAACGCAGAGCCTGTTCAGAACATATGAGCGAGCAGGGCAGCGGTTATTCCGGGTACGAACACACGCTGGATGATGTCTCACGGCGATACGAGGAGGACGTGTGGGTGATGGATCACATGGGTCTGGCTAGACACATGCGTTCCCCAGCTAAAATTACATGCACCTTGGAGTTAAACAACGTGCGCACCCGCCGAGAACTCGCTCTGTCCTCGGGCCCGACCTCACAGCCGTCCGACAGGTTTCTCCCACTTTCTCAGGAACTCCATCACCCGCCTCTCCCTCGACACCACCCCCGCCATCACCTTTTCCCTCCACGCCGTGTTCATCGCTGCCTTGTACTCCTCGCTCTGGAGTCCATCCAGCGACTGCCACTCGTGCACCGTCAGGAACTTTGGCGGCTCCTTCTGTCCCTTCTGCCCCTCTAATCCCATCTGGCCCCAGTCCTTCAGCACGAGCCTCCGGCTCCTGATCCAGCCCGGTGCCTTTGCGAGCAGCGGGATGTGTTCCTCGTCGTACCATTTGTTGAACTCATCCTCATCCTCAGGCTTCACCCCGAGCGAGACGAAGACCACGTACGGTGCTGGGGTGTGTTCATCGTACAGCGTCGACGGCGGGTACGACGGGCCTTCGTATAGCTCGTAGTGTCGCCTGTCCAGCACCTGCAGCTTCTTCAAGATCTCCTTCTCTCTGTCGCTTCTCGTCTCCGCGAGCGTAGTATACGGCGGCTTCTTGGTCGCCTCATACGATTCCAGGTCGTATGAAGCTCCGTAGGTTGGTTTTTCGCCGTCGGCAGCCTTCCATCGCGTCCAATTGAGGAACGTAGGTGTATTCACGCGGAGCGGGATGTGCTCGTTTTCGTACCAGTCGTTGTACTCGGCTTCATCAACGCCGCTCCCGGGGTCCGAAAATACGAGTAAGAATGCTGGTGGGGCCATCGCTATGCGCAAGGGTGCTCGTGCGGGTGTACGATCGTACTTAAATACAGGCGCGGGCCGAAGGACCAGTCATCTCACCTCTTGGCTTACACTGGTGGTCATATGTTTCACTCCCAGACTATCTTAGGAATCTGCGGAGAGCCATGCCAGAGAGTTTTGTTACCAATCAGCACCTAGGCTCGTATCTAGCCGTTTCGGTGGGTTCATCTCCGCTCACTCCGCTCGCAATTATACCGAAACAGCTGGCAAGTACTGCAAGCATTAGAACGTATTCCCAATGAAAATTCTGTGAAACTCAACGACGCAGAATTTGAACTGTCAATACTCTGAATATACCAGATAAATACTTACAAGTTGGTCTCATGCTTCGATACGTCTAGGCACGAGACCAGGTGCCCCCAAGGAAAGACGAAGAGGAAAAGGCACTGGGTTTCACGAGTCTAATCAGCACCCACTTGCGTCGGGCCCGAGCTCGATGCGGGGCCTGCTCACAAATACTTTTTACGGCTGCATATCGTGTATTTGTGGACCGACATCGATGAACATTACAAGAAATTAGAGCCACAACTTTAGTTAGACTATTCACAGCAAGAGTTCGAGTGGCTACCAGGAGGGATATCAGGGCATTGCAAGAGAACGCACCAGAAAGGATGTAATGTCGAGTTAGCAGAACACAGCAAGACCACGGGCGCAGAGTACACAGTCAGCACTTTGAAACGCAACCATGAAGATTTCAGCAGCAATCCGTGAGTGCGTCAACGAGATCCCTCAGACGTCCGCCCAGCCGCCTTCGTCGAGCTTGTAAGATGCTTCACTTTCCGGTCTATCTGGACTATCGACCAGTTTTGCAACGCGCTCCTCAGCGCGACCTAGCGGAAAGTAAGTTGGGAGGCGATGTCAATCAAACTCGATACAATAAGAGTTTCTGTTCGTGCACAGATGACCGGACAAACCTTTGCGCAGGAACATCCTTGTTGCGGATGCATGGGAAAGAATGTGCCCGCCGATAGGCTTCAGGGCACCTCCAGCCACAAATGTCATCACGGCTCCAGGATCGGCTACACCAGCAGAGTCAGTGCTCGATACAACCGTACTTATGAATGACGCACATTGCACCTGGTTAGTCAGAAGGATTGCGATCTAAAAAGTGGTCAGCGTAGCGAGAAACGCAAAGGATGTCTTAAGATACATTATACTCTTCCGACAACTTGCTGAGTTTGGAGAGCATCTACGTGTTGCAAAGTAAATCAGCATCAGATACCTTTGGAGTATAACCTACTTGGGCAAGCTGCAGGCCGTTGAGTCAGAAAGGTAGACTTCATGTAGATTGTAATGCGTCATTACTTTCTGCTGTCTCTCACTCAATTCTCCTCTTCCGGAATAGTCGGTACGAAAGCACGCCATGATGCTATCCACAATCTAAAGCAGCAGGTCAACGATGTTACTAGTCAATGCCAACGCAATAGCTCACCAAAAGCCGGAAGTCCTTGTCCTCTGCGAAGCGGATGGAGCACTCGTTGATCAATTCCATCTGCATTCCGGAAGGTTAGCTACTATAATGCATAATATTAGCAGCGTTTACCTGGTGCTCACTGTTGAACGCCCGCGCTGCGTAGCCAATTGAGAATGGAAGGGCGCGCAAATATACCATAAACCAACCGTATAATATATTCTCCAGCGCCATATCGCCATTCACCCCGAACCGCTGTGCAATCGATCTGATACGATCGGGCCTAAAGGTACCTTCTGTATCGATGTATGCCACCTTCATAATGGATCTAAGCTGAAGTAATAATATCAAGCGCGCATACACTCACCTTTCCTGCAGCGCCACCCATGTCGGGAGGTAGCTGGGTCACAACACTCATGGTATGCGCAAGCTGAGTCTTCCCTGTGCGGTACTCGCCGTAGACTTTGACAAACGAGTTTCAGCATACGTGTTGGGGGTGAAATAAAATGCACCTTCTGTGATAGATTGAGACATGATGCCACCTTTGGAGCATCAGAAGAATGCCAGAGTTGGTGCATAAGAAAACACTCACCGCCCAAGATAGTATCTACAGATTTGCTGCCGGTACTGACCATCAGCACTCGCTTTCGCTTTTCCTGAATCTCAAGGCCAGTGGCGAACGAGGAGCCCTGCCACACAAATGTAGCGCATATAGGCGACAAGGAAGATCATGCACATACTAGGACCTTATGCGCGGCTTCCTGCAATCGGTAATGTAGTTAATGCTCAACTAATCATGATGACACCAACCTTGATCTTCTCGACTTTAGCCTCGGACATTCCCTGCCGATGCATTAGATGCAAGGGGCACTGATTAAAAAAAAACCCTCTCCCCCCAAAAAAAAACTAACTTTTATCTTTAGCATTTGCCTCCTCGTTGTCATGTTTACACCGGATACCGTATTGATGGCGGCCGCCTATGTTTCCGTTGAAATACACAGGGACACAGGATGAACGACATCCGCACCTTCAATTTCAGAATGTCTTGCATATTGATGCCCTTGAAGTCATAGATGTAAATAATATACGCGCATAAAAAATAACAACACCAACATGTTGCTGCAGCTCGTCGACGCTGTCGAAGTAGGGTCCCTGGAATCAATGTGCATCAAGTCGATATTCCGGGTGTATATGCTGGCTGACCTCGTCATAGTCGTCTCCCTGAGGACTGGTGGGTCGGGATGGGGCAGCTTGGGAAGCAGTACGACGGACCATTATGCAGAATATCAGGGTGAAAGGTAAGAGTGTAGCAGTCGGCCGCGCGCGAGACCGTGAAGCGCGACAAATCACCTGACCGCGATTGCTCTGTGATGCGCAGCTTGATGAAAGAAGTATAGTGCTTATTCTCAGATAATATTGCGTGTTGCCGGGATAGCTCGGTTGGGAGAGCAACAGACTGAAGTTTTCATCCGCGGGCCTCAGGCAAGACTCAGATATTCCGATTGTTTAATTATTCAATTACTTAGATATTATTGGATGGTAAAGGTATCTTTAAATAATATGAATAGTTTCACATTATGCAGCCATTAGTAAGTAGCATTTGCACAAGGAATAAGTATAAGCCAGGATAGCAATAGACTGAAGTCACGTGAGTGGTGAATTAATATAGGCCGGGATAGCTCAGCTGGGAGAGCGACAGACTGAAGTTACGTACGTGAGTGGCTTTCTGGCGGTCCCGTGTTCAATCCACGGTCCTGGCATTTCTTTTGTTGCCCTCCTTGCTTTTTTTTGGCTCCTTTTATTGTCCTCAAGGCCCTCCTTGCTGTTAAGCCCGTGATCAATCTACGATCATCGCATTGCCTTTCCTTGACAACACCAGCACTGTAACTTCTCTTTGATATAATGTTGGATGCGATCAACGAACATATTTGGAGGAGCTTAGATGATTATCCCGCGTCATCCATCTCTTCAAATGCGTATACATCCTTCTCCACATCATCGACAGTGCCCAAAACCTCTTCATCAGCGGACACTGGAGCTACGCTCTGCTCTTGCGACTGTAATTTCGCGTCCAATTGGGTCGATCGCAGAGGCGTAGGTGCTCTAATGATTGGTGTCGGTCCAGAAAAGTCTTTGCCAGTCATGCGTGAGAGCGTCTCAATATCTGCGAGCACAAATCCAGTAAGAAATATACAGTCAAAGAGGGAACAATTACTCGCCGAACGGTCGACGATGATTGAGGCAGTACGTGATGCGGGAAGAGTTCTTCTTGTCCTCAGCTTTGAATTTATTCTTGCATGCTTTTCGATCACGTCCAGGCAATACAAACGAAATTAGCTCATAGTTCTCGCCAAACTGCGATAAAGCCTATAAATGCAAGGTCAGAAATTCGGCAGAGACAGAGGCAGAATGAAATACCTACATCGTAGAATAACTCGGTCTCCTCCGCGCTCCAGCGAGAGCCACGCGGTTTCTTGCTGTAGGTCAGAGAATTGACAAACTTTGTGGTGTCTGACTCTTCTACATGAGTATAATTTGCCGTGTCGTCCTCCTCGTCGCGATTGACAAAAAGAGATTGTTCGTCGATGATGGTCTCCCCACTAGCCCCAATTCTGACCTGCACATTATATCGGCTCGTGGAGAGATCTTCCGTATAATCAAAGTCGTCCCCCGCCCGAGTCTCGTTAGGAGAATGTCCGTTCGCAGAAGACGGTTCTGCAGTTGGTGCACCCGTATTAGTAGACGCTACATCTCCTGACGAGCCACCCTCGGTTGCTTCCGCAGCGGCTTGACTTGATCTATCAGGCGGCTGATTCTCGTTCTCGGCATCCCTACCATATTTCTTGGCCTCCATGATCGCTCTGAGACGCGCCCTCTTCTCCTTGTTCGCTACTTGCCATGCCGCATGATTGGTCATGATTTGCGCGGCCTTACTACTGATCCGTCCTTGTCCCGTATCGTCGCAGAGAGCGGACATCGTAGTCACGGTTGGGTCCAGCTCTTCACCAGGATCAGCATTGGAGTCGAAAGGAGGTGTAGATGGTGTACGCGTCCGCGACCTTCGAGGTGTGGTAGAATCTTTATTTTTACGCCTCTTCGGGGCGGCCTCAGACATTTCTTCCCTCTGTGACGAACTCTTCTTGCGTCGTCTCTTTGTAGGAAGCTCAATTTGTTCGCTATCATCGCCACTATCATGAAGTTCAGTAATCGTCTTTCCCTTGTTCAACGCTGACTCTCTACGCGTGTGAGTGGGTTTCGAGCTGAAAAGACCGGCCGCTGGGTTTTCGACAGCTAATTGAGATCCATCTACGCACTGATGCTGAACGTAGGTGTCGGGAGGAATGAGGACCTGCTGGATGGGCAGTGTATGAGCTATATGATGTGGTTCAACGGCTGGTGTTTGGGATACTAGTACTGGGGCACTACGGGAGTGGCCAATTAAAACGGGGACGGGCCTGTCTCTCGATAAAGGGGTTATCAAATTTCCAGTATTTGGTGTGACTTGTCGGAGAGGTATATCATCGGAAGAAAGCTGTGTCTGCATGAGAAGGGGTTGGGGTCTTTTTTCAGTGTCGTCTGAGATATGGACGTGCGGTAGACTTTTTTGGCCAGAGCTCGAGCTCGCCGGTGTATGCAGAGGAACATACCGGGCCTCCGCGACAGGGACAGGTCTGGAGGGTACCGCCAAAGGCGGTGGCATAGAAGATGAATCAGCGTCTATGAGAACTCGCTCCTTATGCGAAGCAGCCGATGAACCTCTAGCATTTTGAGTGTCTGGCACGACAGAGGTCTGGCGCGACTCGGAGCCAGGACGAACTCGTGGTCTTGCAACAGGTCTAAAGACGGTGCTGCCTTTCTCTGCAAGAACTTCAGCAACAACAAAAGTCGGAAGCCGATACAGAGGCACTCACGAACACGCGTCGACATGACCGACTTCAAGTTGAAGCAAACGAGGACGGCGACAAAGTCAGACTCAGACTCCGTCGCGACGGGCGCCCCGCCGCTCTCAGTGGCTTTCTCGGTGGCTGCTCCGAGTTAGTGCTCAGCGCTAAGTGGCCCCAGTTAACTTCAAGCCTCCTTTGCGCGTTGGATTCTGCATTTCGTGCACTTCGCCCATGCAGCATGGAATACGCCTTCCAGTTGGCCCTCATCCGAACTGGGAACTGGACAACGTCGGGGAAGACTCAAGGAGTGCTGAACTGCATAGTGTAGCCCAAAGGCGCGTTCGTTGCTCTACCGGCGACGCTTTACAAAAGTTGACGTATGTCCAGCTCCGTAGTCTTACAATCCTTAAGGCAATGTAATTTCTGTCGCATCTTTAGTATGTCTTTGCGTTGAAGCAAATTTTATGTGTAGCGCGACAAAAATGGCTTTCGACCGCCTTCCCCAAATTCTCCACAAAGGCTCGTGGCAACAAAGCTCCTGAAGTCGTCCCGCCCCCGCATACAATCAAGGCACATGGAAGATATGATTTGACTATAGGTCCACATGTCTTCTCAAATACCGCATTTTATGAGGTTCATTATTTGGTCCGGTCCCCAAATCCTACACCTCCCTCTGCTCCGCCACACTCCAGCCAGCCGGCACTGGCATCCACTTCATTTAGCGGAGCACAAAATACATCGTACTCTCAGCTCTCTACGACCTCTATAGCAGTGTCTGCATTGACTGGGCAAGGCACTCCTAGCGCTGGGGTCGGGCACGTAGCTGTTGTGACACCAGATCTAGTGTCGCAAGTCAACATCGCTTCAATGTCGAATCCTACTCTGAAGAATCTTCTTCATCTTGCATCATCAGGACGCGCAACACCCGATCAACTGAAAACACTAGGTCTCCTCATTCAGTCGTTAGGTGCCATACAGCAGCCGGAAAGAATCCCAGACTCGCAATCCTCTACCCTCACATTGCAATCCCCTGCGGCTTCCATACCCGAGAGAGAATTTGACATCGTGATCGAATTCCAGGAGAAATCGTCTGATAGATGGGTAATTCCTCGTGGACCAGTTGTATGTGAGAGAAGCCCAGCCGATTTTTATAATCCTTCAGACGTAACATTGTCAATGGTTCTACCTTTTGTTCGGCCGTCGCTTTCCGATAGTGGAGCATCTAGTACGGATGTCTCTCAGCTTGCTCAGCCTTACGTTGTCACGTTCCGCTTGTCAAAGGTGGCACCAATGCTATGGAAGACGCTGTGGGCATGGTCTGGTGGCGATCAAGATAAAAGTAAGACCACGCTGGATGAAATAGTGGGTGACTCAATATACTCTTGTGTAATCTGCTCATTTACTATGAACTATAGGCGAGGAGTAATATGGAAAGGCGCCAGTTTCTACAGTATAGACTGCCTGATGGCCCACTTTTCCAACAAATCCAAGCGGTGCGGTCCCCTTGTCCCTAGTTCGTATCAGATGGATGTTCACAATTTTATTCCAGGGGGTAGCACCACCATACAGCACAAGGACTATTGTGCCAAGCGGTGGAAATACAACAAGGACTAGACGAAGACAGTCCTCTCGTAAAGGGGGTGAGCAAGTAGTGCGAACCCAAGTGGTCGAGACTGGCGCTGTTTCCAAACGGAAACAACAGGTCTCACCAAAAGTCATGACCCCCCTTCCCATAGCATGTCGTGCCTGCGGACAGACGGATGTTCCACTAATGATGGGTGGCAGTCAGTTCATTCACTCTTTGTGTGGATTTGTATATTTGTTGAGATCCTCTTTAGGATATTGCCGAATTTGCATCGAAGCTGGCAGAGCGGTAGACGACATCCCTCAGGTCACTATCGGTGGCCGGGGTCCTAGGATCAAGGAAGTTAGCGTGATTCCGGTATTGAGTGAGAGACCAAGCGCATCTCCGAAAGAGAGCAAAACTCCAACAGCATACCCTACCGTCGGTGGGACGGGTTCCGCAACTGTCGCCAGTCCTTACATCGTACCGAATCAGGCCTCATTAGCTGCTGAACCAGGAGGAGCTAGATAATCGAGCTTTCATCGTATTCAAGTGTAGCAGCTAGATGTACTAATAGTTGATTACTACGATATAAATGTTGCAAGATAGCAAGGCAAGTACGAGGGACTACAATAAGTTACGTGAAGATGTTAACAGCCCAGCCTATCCACCATACTACCACCCCCCACTGTGCGAGAACGATAGAGACCTCAATGAGAACTGCACACCACTGCACCAACAATCCAAGTATGAAGAAAGGAAAAATTAGCCACCAAAGCCCAGCCTGAGTAACCCACGGAAGATCCCAATTCATACTTAGCGCAAAAGCGGCGCGAGTCTGTAAGAGTGTAAAACCAAGACTGAAGAAACAGAGACAAAGCAAGCCGATCCAATGTTGCAACGAACGTTGAGGGAGTCTGGTAAGAGGGTATTTCTTGGGTTCTCCAGTGAACTCGTTGCGGTACCACGGAATGATGAGAAAATCTTGAACATCTTCTCCTATGACTTTCCCGTAATTTCGCCAAAACGGTGTGACTGTATCCAATAACAGAGTCAACGCGTCGAGACCAATATCCCAGAATTGTTGGTAGTGGCTCCTGTAGCTCTCTTCTAGTGCTATAATTTGTGAAAGCTATATATTATTGAAGCCTTCAGCTGAGGCGACGCAACGCGAGCTAGAGCTCTTACCTCAGGATACACTAGGGATGTGTGTGCTAAAGTATTATTATAGTCTTCCTTGACGGTTTGGTGGACTGCTTTGACCCTTACTAACGCGTCTGTCACCCTATCTGCTTGACTTGATATGCAACTGTGATGCTCTTCCAACTTCTTCAATGCATCTCCCATAGATGATATCGGGTCGTCGAAGACGTTGGTTTGAAGACCTTGGCCGGCGGACTCAAATGCCATAGATGACGCGAATGCTCGTAATAACTTCCGCTGTCGTCGAATACGCTCATGGATGTCTTCGACAGCTTTCCACCCCTTCACAGAACGAGTGGAGCTCGTGAACGCAGAGGGGTCATGTGAAAAAGCCTCCAATACGTCTGACGGAATCGCTGAGGAGAGCACCTCGGGACAGGTAATGAAACCTGACTGAACAACGTCATACTCTCTGATTGTGGCGGCCACACGTTGAAGTAGATAGCGGATGCGATAATTCTGCGAGGCCGTCTCTTCCAGGATCCTGTGTGTCTTTAGAACTCTAGGGAAAAGGAAAGACGCTAACATAATTACCGTGCTTTGCGTTCGTATTCTTGGCGCTCAATTTCCTCGTCAACTGCACGCTGCCTCTGCTCACGCTCCTGCGCAAGGGCGCGATGAGACGTCGGAAGAGAAGTCCGCAAACGACGAATAGGGACGAAACGCGAGAGGGACGGCGACACTTCATGGCGGTCCACAGCTGTCTCAGGCGTTGGTGTACCAATTATATCACCGCCTTTGGGAAACTTCTCTAACGTAGAAGTTGGCAGACCGTCGCCGTTACCTTTGTCAACAGCCTCGTATGACACCTTGTCGTCGTCGGTATGTAATTCGTCCGGAGAAAGCAATCCAGGGGTCGTTGGTCTACTATGCATGTACCCTCGTATCTTTGTTGGGACATCCTCTGAGACGCTGCGTTCCGACACGGAATTGCGAGCGGATGATAAAGCATCTTCGCTGTCGTATGGTTTACGACGCAAGCGTTTCGCGACGTTTCGGAGGTTATGATTGCTCTTCGCCGAAGAACCACCGCCGTTGAGCTTAAAGCTATATAGAGAGCTCGGGGCAGACTCAGTCGTTATTTGATGTGACTGCTTCCAATACCGCGTGAAGCCCTCGCTACTGGGACGAGACTCCCCAATAACGGATTCTCGCCCAGACTCGACATGCGGCTCAAAAGACAGCTGTTGATCATATGAAGACCGCCGTCTAGAGAGCGAAGGCTCAAGAAATTGGGGTGACGGATTCCATGAATGTGAACCACTCGACGGAGACATGTTCTCTGGAAAAGAAGGAGCTATCGGAGACGACTTTACAACCTCATCTTCGGGTATGGTAGCCATTATTTGATTATGTCGTGATTTGATATATTCCTCGACGATCGAGGCCGTAACATGCCAGGGAATGCGTGGTGAATCACGACCTCCCTTGTCGAGGTGTTTCAACCACGTGAACGGTTCCGTTTTGTCCAGGGATGCCTTAGCTATGGCTTCTTGGCCATCGTACCAACGAACAACTTGCAAGAGATTGAAAAACGGCACATGCGAGCTAGGTGGCGTCAGAAGTATGCTATAACGTCTCGCAAGCTGGTCACTGGTAATTGCAGCTTTACGCAATGTGCGTGAATGGGCTTTTTCTCTGATGCGTGCTAGCTTGTCTAAGGCGACCTTTTAGCTCAACCCTTACAATACTTGAAATGAAAGGGACACACCTGCGTACAACGAATCTTGCCTCTCGACAACGATCCGACTCGATGGCAGCGCTTGTCTCTCTTTCTGTTTCTTCTTCGATAGGTGCAGCGTCCACTTCTTGTCCGATTTTTCATCTTCTGATGCAGAACCAGACCAATCCAGCGTCGCGCCACCATTCGAAGATGAAGGAACTGGGTGAAGGGGAATTGTTCCAATAGACGGACTGAAATCAATCTCTGAATCGTTGTTCAAAACTTCCGGGGCAGCAGCTATAGTCGGATGTATCTGAAGATGCGTTTTGACTGGGGAAACGCGTGAATTAAATGGATCCACGTCCGATTTTGACTGATGCTCTGTATGTGAATAAGCTTGAGCTGCCTTCAGTCGAGCCTCTCGCCGGGCTTTCAAACGGACTGCATGTCGCACGTCTTCTATTATTCTTGGATCTAAGCATAATGGCTTCAGCGAACATGACTCTGGTCTTACAATGATCTTCCAGACATGCCTTCGCGAGCTATAATAATGTGAACAATCTGCGTGGACATGCAGAACAGGGACTCACATAAGTCATATTCGTCAGAGAATGCCGACGACAAAGAGAGGTCTGTTTGACCGTCAGACAAAACGGCACTCTGTGGCTCTCTCTCCTTCTGGACACCTCGACTACCAGTATGGGATACTCTCCTAGAATAGCGAGTGGTAACATCACCGGCCTCGACTGAATGCCGCTTTATGTGAGGCGAAACCGCCTTCATGTCAACCGATCTAACGCGCCGTCGTCCAAAATCATGACGTCGCTCAATCAAAAGCGAATCCTTGCCCTGGCCAAGGATAGACTTGCGTAGCCCAGGAGAAGATCTCAACCTCATAGAGTCCGCAGGAATATCATCGACCAGGCTTGCGCGGTCCTCGCCATGAGGAAAACATATACGAAGATGCTTTCCCTGTTCGGCTGAAGGGCTCCCTGTCGCATCTGCATTCAAGTTCGAGGTTGTATGGTCTGTCGAGGAAGAAGGCCTCGCTTCTTGCATCAGAGTATATGAGCTGCGCCTTGTGGATGCCAGCCAAGGACTAAAGAACGGACGACTGAGCTTGAGTGAGTAGCAGGAGTCAAAGCGAGCAGAATGGGATCCATGCAGTTTGTACGGGCGACTTAATGACAATGATCCATCTTGAGGCGAGCATGAGCGGGAACACGTGAATATGCATTTCCGGCGCTGATAATGCTTGGTCGGGCCGACTGGGACAGACTCCCTTCGCACACCCAATAAACCACGTACAATGAACATAATTTACAAATTGAGAAACACGCAATATACAATTTCAAGGTGGCGTTCAATCATTCCCTAGAAGGCTTCGTGTCGGACCTACACCTGCGACGCACGGTAGCATAACGGTGCCAGACATTTCTTGATTCCCGGATATTCGTGATAAACGAGAGAGATTCAGCCCGCATTCGCATATATGGATTAAAACGAAGCAGAGGAGGTTGTTGGGTCAATGCTAGAATATCAACCACGATTGGTGCTCCCGATGTGAGTCGAGTTGGCGGCGGCGAGCAAAATTGGAAACCCGATGAATGACTGAGACTCTGTAGTAAGAGAGACGGCTGCGATCGTAGAGGACGAAGGTTACATTTCGAGATGTGATAATAGTTCCTCAATATCTCCTCTTTTTCCATGAGCATTGCTGCGCGTGACTAGCTCACCCGCTGCGAGTGATCAACCACTTAAAATTGGGACCCTATGCGACTCAGAAAAGACGTACAGTATTCATTTGAGTGTCGGTCTTCTGGGCGTCCATCGGAACTTTGGCGTCGTGGCCCACCTACAGGGAATTCGACCGAATTGACACGCATATTGATCAGATCAATGGGAATTGAATGCCCAGTGCCAGTGGGATATGAGGAGTAAGAATGTACCATCATACGCTAGTTGGTGCCTCCAAAAGACGCAGATAAAGCGGATACCTGAGCGTGTTGACGGTAGCGCATAGCGTGGGCCATATCGTCAGCAGCCAGAGCCTCCGGGAAAACCCTCAGTGTTATTGAAAAAAAGAATTGGTGTGATGATAAATAATTAACCAGCTTCCTTGCGAGGCTCCGTGAATCTGGGCAATGCGACGGCTTGAACAGTCTTAGCATAAGTAGATAATTTCACTCTCTTGCATGCATTTGTAGCCTGTCCTTGATACCCAAGCTTTCGCTAATTTTCTCGTCTGACATAGAACACACAGTTGGATACCCAAAGTCATACCTGCATCGTGAGCGAACACGGCCGAGTGGTTCACACAAGGTATTTCGGTGTACGAGGAGAATCGATGCATAGAGGGACATGCGGGGAGCGTAATGAACTAGGAATTACTAAAATTGTTCCTATGATCAGCCACGGGCAACAATGGTGCCGCAAAGCGCCGCCGGCAGATTGGAGTACACAGAATGGTAGTGTGTTTGCCGACTCAGGGTCCAACAGTGGCCACCTCAAGGAAATATCTAGCATATTTGCAACACTCCTGTCCTGGATAGCATCGCAGATCCTACCGATCAAATATAAGGACGCACTATTATGCTATTTCAGCCTTGAAATTCTTGAAAAGATCACCCTTAGTGCGACATCACTCATTGACAATTCTCGCCTTGCTAGGACTGCTGGATTAGGTCGAATTTCATGATAAATACAAGGGACAAGACATGTGCACTATGGACATGTTATTCAAGAGTGCATACTATGACCTGAAGTCAGCGCGGAAGGCGCATTCGCGTCTGTCGCTGCTTCATTAGCAATCTTATAAACATAGCTGTTGTGAATGCGGATAGCGAATACCTAGTAAGTGTCAGTTTGGTTCATTGATTTCCACACATCACTTACCAGGTCACCACGTAGGATGCGTGCGCATTCCTTACGTCAACTGTCGGCGCCCGACCTACGGGGATACCACGGGCCAACCGGGAAGATACCTCCCCCCCATGCCCTCCTAAATACCATGGATACTGTTTGTGATGACAACATCGAATAAAGAGGGTAAGGAACGTACCAAAAATCTCTTCGATATACACAGGCTGGACACCAGTCTGCTCCCCGCCAGCATATTCTGCCATAGCAGATATGTCTGCCCAATACCATTCGCCCTTCTCAGGATCATTATTGGGGGTGAAATTATTGCGGACATGAGAAGTTCTAAGCATGCCTAGAATTTGGGTCTCGCCATCTTCAAGATGGCACTTGGCATCGCCTGCCATATCTTTGGAAACGAAACCACGATCGACCAAAACAGTAGAACCGTCGGATCGAATGAGCGGAACGACGAGGTGATAGCCATTCGTCCCGTCTCGGACACGAGGCCCCAGCAACATGGCATGTTCGGCATCCCAACGCCCCTTCAACATCACTTTGCGGTATGCAAAATCGGGAATGGCTGCTAGACTTACCAAGGATGGCACATAAGAGATGGTCAATAAAATGAGTAGGTAGCACCGCACTTCACTCGTTTTGGAAGAGACATAGGCTCTCTCTGTAACTTCTCTTCAAGTTCGTCTATCATGGCCACTTTCCACTTAAGACGTTTAACTTGCCACGTTCCAAGAGCAAATGTAAAGGCTGGAATAATTCCAGCCAGAACCATAGTAGGAGTGATCCAGGGTTCTTGCTTAGCTTTGTATATACGGGTTGTAGAGCTGGTAGACTCAGAACGCCTCAGAGAGATATCAGTATTGAAACGGCGTCTTGTTCGCATTAGCTTTAGCCACGACGACTCTGAGTAGCGGAGGAAAGGGAACATTGTCATCGCGAGTGGAAAGCTAATCGGTCAAGCACGCCGGGATCAGTGCGGCATACAAGATTTATTTGGCGCCCAAGCCTGGTTCACTGGCTGCGCACTTACGACCTTCGGCCTCCCCCTCAAACTGCTGCCTATCCTTGAGCTGTGACACACGACGGGTCTACCATGTAAGCCGTACTCCTTAGGGGACGCTCATAAGCTCACTGCTCCCCAGGTTCTCAGGACAGCGAGGCCGAGGTGCATACGATATTGACGGTGGCGATGAAGTCCACTACCCGACCAGACCAGTCGACAAGGACAAGGCAGAGGCAGAGCTAGTTGTAAATATCAAGAAGGCGACAAATCCTGACGAGACGGCCCCCAAACAGAAACATGTTCGAAGTACGTTGCCTCTTCAGCGGCTCGATACGTCCCTTGACCGGATGATATAGAATGCATTGTGTATACTTGGGATTATCATACCTCGATGTCATTCTGGACCGGCCTCCGCGTCCAACCAATCCTATCTGATGAAGTGCAGACGTTTAAGGCGCTCATCACCGTTCATAAGGTGTTGCAGGAGGGTCACCCTGTGGTATGTCTATATATCATAGTGAACTCATTTATTGACGTTGTACTATCACAGACGATCAAAGAATCACACGGACAGACTGGTTGGCTAGAGACTTGCGCTCGAACAGTTGGTCATGAGAGCCCCAGAGGTGCGGTACAACCTTTGGTGGTGGCAGTAAGGAAGGCTCACAGATGCGGGTAGGCTATGGTCCCTTGATCAAGACTTACGTTCAATTCATCTTGGCAAAGCTGCGATTCCACCGTCTACGACCAGAGTTCAATGGCCTGTTCGAGTACGAAGAATACGTCACACTGAAGGGTATTGATGATCCCAACGAAGGGTATGTACATCTGTTCTTGACGTGTTTGAATAAATGTTTATGTAACGCAGTTACGAGACCATATCCGATCTCATGGGTCTACAGGATCAGATTGATTCATTCCAGAGGATGATATTCGCGCATTTTCGCCATTCTGCCAGCAATGAATGTCGCATATCTGCCCTTGTTCCTCTTGTGAAAGAGAGCTGGGGCATATATCGGTTCATAACAAGCATGTTGCGAGCAATGTATCGGAGTAGGTAATTGCATAACCAGAAGTCCTGCTTGCTGACCCCTGATCAGGGACCGGCGATAATGAGGCATTAGAGCCGCTACGCCAAAGGTACAACGCCCAGCACTACGCTCTACGCAAGTTCTATTATGAGTGCTCCAATCTCAAGTATCTGACCGGTCTTATCAATGTTCCGAAGCTTGGTCAAGTGCGAATATTCTGCACCCTTATTCTTCAGTGTTTGTCTAACTTGATATGAAAGGAACCTCCGAATCTTCTCGACAGTGGCAATGCCCCAGATCTTCCCGCGAGGCCAACGACTACCACTATCAAGACGCCTCCGCCAGCCACTCCAGCACCTGATGCTGCCGCAATCAGTGAACAAGCACGCATGTTGAAGGAGTACGAAGACCAGCAGGCTGCTCTGCTTGCTGCTCGTGAAGCTGAAGAGCGTCATCGGCAAGATTTGGAAGAGCAACAGCGTCGTGAATTCGAGCGTCGGCAAGCCGAACAAGCCGAAAGGGAGCGGCTCGCGCAGGAGCAGCTTATGCAACAGCAGATGATGCAATACAACAACCAGGCTGCCGCTCATGTACAAGAGCTGGAGCGAGAACTATTGGGTATGCGTGGCCAATTCGAGCGGGATCAATTGATGCTTGAACAATATGACCGGGTATGTCCCCGTTCTAAAATGATGACTATTCCTCAGTTCATAAACTCTGCCAGAGAGTAAAAGCGTTGGAGGGCGAGCTTGGTGGTGTATCGACGAACTTCAATGCACAAATGCAGTCGAAGGACGACCTAATAAAGCAGTTGCAAGATCAGGTTACCCTCTGGCGCAACAAATACGAGGCTCTCGCGAAGTTGTACAGTCAGCTCCGCTCAGAGCATCTGGATATGTTGGCCAAGTTTAAGCAGATGCAACTGAAAGCCAACTCGGCACAAGAAGCAGTTGACCGCATGGAAAGGATGGAGCGTGATTTGAAGGCGAAGAACCTGGAGCTCGCGGATATGATTCGTGAGCGTGATCGCGCTAGATTTGATCTGGATCGCCAGAAGTCCAATCACAAGGATGAGTTGGATCGCTTGCGACGAGAGCTCGGCTATGCCAACGAACGGGCGGACGATGCTTCGCGATCAAAGAGTTCGGAAGTATCCGGTGTGTTGTCGAAGTACAACAGACAATTGTCCGAACTCGAGGATTCTCTGAGGGTTTGTAGATTGATTGTTTATCGCATTTAATTCCAGTTGACATGTCTTCTACAGGCTAAGCAGCTGCAGATCGACGATCTCCTTGTGAAGCTAGAGAATGCATCTGTTGACTTGGAGCGACTTAAAGAAGAGAAGGACCAGGAAATCGCTATCCTTCAAGAGGGAATGGATAGTACTATACAACAACTCCATGAATCTCAGCAGGTTCGTCGTTTCGGAGCTGTTGAATTTCTTCGCTGATATTATCTTAGAACCAAGGTATCTCAGACGAGGCGACAAACGCCCAAATTGACACCCTTATTTTGGACAACAGGAAAAAGCTTAACCAGATTATCGGTGGGTGAACTCATTTTGCAGTTGCGTTTAGTGTTTTACACTGGGTTTTTCAAGATTCTATTCTACAAGCTTGCGTACATAAAGTAGACGAGGCGATCTATGAATTGGAGTCACCAGCGCAAGCAGGGAATCTCAATTCAACACCTGAATACACGCTGTCAATGATCGAGAAAGCTATCAATAACGCGACAGAGTTCGCAACGGTTTTCAACATGTACCTGGGCGGTGAAATCGGTGGAGAGCATGTCGACGTCATCAAAGGTGCTAACGAGCTCGCACAGTCGCTGTCGGACGTGCTCATCAATACCAAGGGCATCACTCGTCTGATTAGTGAAGAAGCGTCTGACAAACTTGTCAACGTTGCCAAGGGCGCGGGGGACGTTGGGCTGAGAGTGTTCTTAAATCTCCAGTCATATAAGCTCGACTTATTGCCCCAGCTGACTCAGAGGAGAGAGGTTGCTATGCGCAACAACGGCGAAGCACGAAATGCCCTGACCAAGCTCTCAGAAGTGGTGGATGCTCTCGTACCTAAAGGTGGCAAGGCTGGTGCACTTAGCAAGACGAACGGTGATATCGGAGATCTTGTCGAGCAGGAGATGTTGGGCACTGCTAAAGCCATTGAAGCTGCTACCGAACGCCTCCAACAGCTCATGGCTCGCCCGCGTGATTCCGGGCGCTTCAGCGCGGTCGACCTGCAAGTTCACGACTCCATTTTGGCTGCTGCCCTTGCGATCACTAACGCCATCGCACGGCTGATCCAGGCTGCCACCGAGTCTCAACAAGAGATTGTTGCTCAAGGGAAGGGTTCAAGCACTACGCAGCAATTCTACAAGCGCAACAACCGGTGGACTGAAGGCCTTATTTCTGCAGCTCGCTCCGTTGCGTTTGCGACCAATATGCTAATCGAAAGTGCCGATGGGGTGCTGTCCGGGACGCATTCACTCGAGCAACTGATTGTTGCTTCTAACGAAGTGGCTGGAGCCACAGCTCAGCTAGTCGCGGCTTCTCGAGTAAAGGCAAACCTCATGTCTAAGACCCAGGAGCGCTTAGAGCTGGCGGCCAAGGCCGTCACTGAGGCCTGCAAGGCTCTTGTCAGGCATGTCAAGGCGATATCTGCAAGGCAGGCGCAAGAAGAAGAGGTCGACTATAAGAACATGGCAGCGTTGGAATTCAAGAAGCGGGAGATGGAACAGCAAGTGGAGATTCTCAAACTGGAGAAGGATCTAGGGGCTGCTCGTCATCGTCTCGGTGCGATGAGACGCGCGGGTTACCATACAGACGAGACCGACTAGTCCAAGGCGTGCTACTATACCAAAATCTATCTGTAACATACTCTACTATCATGGTTGGTGTTTTGTGAATATTGCATTCAATTGATTCGTGGAACATATGCATGAGCTCCGAGGTTGATGCATCTGGTACAGGTTTATTGTGAGCCCTCACCGTACGTACAGGCACATGCGATTGGTATATACTGTATGAGGAGTCAATGCGGCATTACCTCGAATGTAACTCTTACTTCTCTATCGAACCCACAACAAATATGATCAGTGGACGAGTACCTCACGAAAATTACAGCAGGTTAGTGGTGAAGAATGGTAGTATGTAGACCAGAGGGAGTAGGTAGTAATAAAAGCACTCCCTAATACGAACACGAAACAAGGCCGCCAATAAGCGGCGGTACGGTGATATAGTATCGAATAATGAAATATACGTACGAAGGGAAAGTAATACTCGGACAAGGAAAGGTGATCCTATAATTAACGGTAAGGCAAACTATCGGAACTGCGGATGGTGTCAAATGAATCCTTTCCCCCGCCCATCTCTAAGAAACTGCTCTCTAGTTCCGGAGATGAGAGCGACCCATCCACATCAACGTCCACAAGACGTTCTGCCGCAGCATCTACTTCGTCTTCTATATCCAAGAATGAGGGTTTCCGCATAATGGACCTTCGTTGTAGAGCTTTCGTGTCAAATGCGCTCGGCGGGCGAGTACTTTGGAATGGACGGTCGTGGGAAGCTTCAGAACGACTGGCCTGAAAGTGGCTTCGATTTCGCGAGGGTGGAGGGGGGAGGGGATGTAGCGGAACAATGCTAGAGCGTTTAGTTGACTCGCTCTGAGTTGAACGCTGCTGATTGCGTCCACTTCGAGAGCGCGGAGGCGGAGGCAAACTCACGGGCGTTTGCTCTGGGGAATGGGTGGAGTGAATAGTGGGTTTGGAAGGCGAGCCTAGATTAGGTTGCGCGGTTGACGGTCTTAATGTTAACAGAGGTTTCGAGGAATGCATGGCCAAAACTGAATTGCTGCGAAGAGGCAATCCCGATGCTTGGCTAAGGCCGTTTCTTGACTTACTTGGGGAGATAGGCCCGGACACTCGTCCCGATGGTAACAACGGTGAGAGTGCTGCCCGCGTCGATGATGCGACTTCACCCAACTCACTACCACTAGTCCCAAATGCTAATGTGCCAGCGGATGCGGTTGAGAGTCTTACATTTGATCCCACTTTAGGTGTTCTTGTATCCGACCTCTTGCGTCCGCCAAATAGCGCATCTTCCAGCCCATCATCGAGTCCAAACCATGGCTGTCGTTCCTGGCGCTCCTGCTCCTGTTGTTTTGCGATTTTCTCGTCCTCGAGCTGCTGTTCAAGCTTGAGCATATCAGCAGGATCCATGATATGCTGCGGGACATATTCTGCTTGAGAAGCTCCCTCGGCTGCGTCGCTATGCACCGCTTTGTTAGAATCGTACATACTGTGTTCATTCCAATATGACGATGGCGCGACACAGGAGTTACTAGTCAGAAGCGCAAACGAGTTTCCAACGCCGCCAAAGGACATCAGGATCTCCTGTCCAGCCACTCGAACATCGTCGTCACTGTACATGGAGCGCATGTCGTCATCACCTGAGATGGAAGGACTGGTTGGTCCTTGCGAGGACGTACTTCTGCGCACACTTGATCCAGAGAACAAGCGCTTTCGCGTTCCAGAACTCGTGATGCTACTTCTGTTCTGCTGCGAGTCACCGGACACGGACGCCGGATACGGAGAGCATTGATCGGGAGGAGAACCATTACAAGAGTTGGCGTGTCGCAGGGCGGGGATGGGGGGCATATGTAATCGCGGGTGATGAAAAGATCTTTGTTTTCGCGGAGTCTTTCCTGTAGATACACTACATACGTTTCTAGCATCGTCATAGGCCGTACTGGAGGATGGGAAGGACAAGACGCTTGCGCCAGAGCCGCGCTTCCCCAGGAGGCTCTGCTTCGACGCAACTTTCTTCAACAGCTTGGGAGTGCCAGAATGCTGTCCGTCTCCTGCAAAATCTGAAGACATGCTGAGGCCCTTGACAGCGGAGAGTGGTGGAGATTTGTTTAACGAGTACAACGAAGCCGAATCCAACGGAACATCACGCATGGTTCCGGTAGGACTAGTAGTGGCGCGACTGGTTATATAGCCCATAGGCCTCTTCTTGCTCGAATCACTCCGGGGATACCCAAGAGTCTGTCGCATCATCTGAGCAATTGAGTCTGATGTTGCATTGTCTCCACTCAAATCGATACTAGGAGCGAAGCTCAAACTAGACCTCGACGACGGCGGATCAGGAAAGGAAGACAGATCGTCAATGGAATCCGTAGGACGAGGGAAGAGAGTTGGAGATAATGGAGGCGGGGGCAATTCACTTGAAGGCGGTGCACTGCTGAGCGGCGGCAGCTGCGCGCGGGGGAATGAGGCTTTACGGACGACGACCAAAGGATGAGCCGAAGCGGACGATATTGGCGAGTCATTACTGGTCACCGTGGACGAACGAGACCGGGTGAACATCACCGGCGATGGAGAAGGTGCTGCAGAGGACGGTGTGTGGTTTCCGTAAGATGAATCAGAAGCCTTTCGACGTAATTGCAGCGGCGCGGTGGAAGGATAATTGGTTTGTCCAGACAGGCCAATAACTGCATTGGCAGTACGAGGTCTAGTGCTACCCCTCTCTCCTGGTGCTGCGATGGTCATCCCCCGGGGTCTCGAGTTCGACGGAGGTACGGATTCGTAAAGGAAGGATATACCGGCAGGAATGGGCGCACTCAGTCGATTTTGACTGTCTGAGGTAGGCGTTGAGACTGATGAGGCAGATTCAGTGACATCTTTTTGGCGCCATTCAGCGTGTTGAGCATCTTGTTGCACACCACCTCGCTTCGTCGTAGAATTTTGCCGGCGACGTGCTGAGGTTGCGCTAGAGTTGGATCGCAGTCTAACGAAAACGCTCAACTCCCCGTCGTTGACCGCTATGTCACACTCACCTAGTAGGACCTGCAGGTCGCGCTGAAACAAGACGTCCTGAGTTGCCGTCTGACGAATGACCATGTGAATTCGAGGAGGAAGATGCGAAAGAGATGCGGTTATAGAATGCGATGTCGCCGCTCTTACGACTGGGATCCAGCATCGACGAGTCCGAATATACTGAGAGCCTGTTTGACTCGGGGTTTGGTTGCTGAATGACCACACTTCCTGCAGCAAATGGGTCTATCTCCGTGAAGGTAAGCACAGAGGGCTGAAAGGATGTCCTATCTCTGGCATAATCCGAAGGAGTGCGGGGCTCTGACATGGTTTTCGCAGACTTCGCGTCGCCGTCATATTCAGAGTAAGGCGTGGTTGTTGGAGATTTTACGGGTGATCGATGATTGGAAATGGATGAAGGAGCGGATGGTGTATCGGTAGCACTGGATTTGACATGGAGTTTGGGTAGGGAGGGGGTATTAACGGGAGGATCCTGTATAGCCAACGAGGGCAGCTTCTTTGCTTTGAAGCCCATCGCAGAGCCTAACGTAAGGAATTTGAGACTTGAAGGATGTTCCTTCTGTCTCATTGAGCCGGTCGAAGTTGAAGACGACGATTTCTCATAGCCTTCCGAAAGGTGAGGCATTGATTGAGTCTGCTTTGGACGCGATGCATCTTTTGAAGTCTTCGGCCGAGACCACCACGACTTGGAGTGCGTGGATGGTAGGAGTGTGGAGGACATAAGGAGGCAAAGGAAAGAGCGTAGTCGCCAGAAGGAAGCGATGGGAATTTACAGCTAAACCCGGAGACGAAGAAAGAGGGTGAGTATACAAGAAAATAAGAGAAGACGTGGTAGAATGCGAACCTAGAGCAAAGTGAATTACGGCATGAGCAGTACTCTGAGGTTCGTCTGGCGGTCAGGAGAGCGACAGGTCAGCAATTGGGCGAGAGAGGCGATGGTAGAAGACGGCGAGGACCGTGGTTACCGGCCGCAGGCGCTAATCGCGTTCGCAATACTTATCAGCGACAAATGAACGACTGTGAACATTTACCCTGTTCAATTTCATACGTGGACCACAACGTATCCCCGAAACCAGTTTCACTGCCAAGACCGTGGCATCAGCCTTGTACTCCATAATTGTTGTTCATCCTCTCTTCCGCATCTGAGCACAAACCATTTCTCTCAATACGACTCTGTGGGACTTTGGTGATAATAGTTGCCCATTGACCGACCAAACAAGCTAGCGTCTCCAACACTCGTCGGCACTGCATATCAAACACATCAACCTCCCCGCATGGCCTTCCAGGGAGCCGCCCTCATTCAGGGACACAGGCCTCCTTACATTCAGAATCCGCGAAGCAAATTAGGATAATCGAGATCCCATCGGTATGAACGTTTTATGAAATGTGAACTCATAAGTACGTCTCTTCTCAACTGCAGTGAGATGCGACCGTCCGCAGATCGCAGTATGAGACACCCCCGATAAAGAAGCAGATGTCTGAGACTCGAACGAGTCCAAGTCTCAGTGAACTGGACCAATCACACAGATGCTGTTTGTTCAGCAATATAAATCGCACAATGAGGGACACTCCTGACCAGCCGTCTTAGTCGATTGCTCAGGAATGCAAAAAAAATCTGCGCAGCTGTCCACCAAGTGTTTGAGAAGTATACATAGTACTTGCCCAGCCATCGCGTGCAACTTCAAATGGTGAGCATGCATGCTTGTTTCCCAATTGCCTACCACTGGTCAACTGGTTCACCCCATACGTCTGACTAGGCCTATTGAATGTCTGAGTATGGTCCGAACTAGAGATGACATGACTGTCTCGTGGACGGGTCGGACGGTAGTATCCTGGAACTATACGCCATCAAATTGGGATCGCCACCAGCATGCGGAGGGATCAACGGCAGTTCCGTGAATGAAAGCACAGACCAGATGGCTAAATCCACGAAATACAATTCAGTTGGCTTCTGATGTATGCCTGTCTGCCTTCGCCTGATTATCTGTTATCATTGGTGCGGAAACAACAGTATCATGACAAGTCGTGTCCGACCTTACTGAGCGGAGAGCGCAGGAATGTGCCGGCTGCAAAGTAGATTTGTCCATCCTACAGGGAACAATGAAAACATATTCTGCCAGAGCCGCTTGATCAATGCGTCGTTATGATCCTGGGTTATCATTTACAGGACACTGCATTCAACCCTAAGGACGCGAGATGGCATTCGAGACAGACCATAAATGTGACAGACCACCTATAGGAAAAGTTCACATAGTCAGTGTCCAAGACTAGACAGATAGCAGGAAACTCACATGTAAATATGAGAACAGTTATGATAAGCAAAATTCCTTTGGATGATGACTGCAGCTAGCCCAAATCAGCCCACACATCTTCGTCTCGACCCTGTGCCACTTTCGTCGCTTGTGACTGGCTGGAAGATAGAACTCGAGAGGCAGATGAAGAATCATCGGCATCGAACACTATTGCATCACGAATGAGGGGCCGCCCAAGCTCGTCATCCACTTCTTCGTCTTCCATGTCGATATCAAGGGTGTATCCTCTCCGGCGATTCGCAGACAAATCGATAGGTTTGGGCCGAGAAAATATCGACTGCCCAGACCTGTATGACATGAAAGTAAGCGCGTTAGCAAATTATAGATGTAGAGAATACATACTGTCGCATCACCGCGGCCAACCTGCCAAATTGAAGGACGTTTCGAGCCACGAGGAGGAGTGTATCAAGCAGCTCTTCTTCCTTACTTGTGCTACCACATCCTGCGAAAAATATCACAAGCAAAGTGATAACGCAAAAAATGGTTAATACGAGGTCCATCACGTTAAATATTGACGTCCAAAATTGCTGGAAATTTCCCCGATGAGCTCAGGCGAATCGTCTTATTCGAAATTTGGTAATAACTCACCCGACCAAACGCCACAAAACGCACAGAGACCTCGAGGATCATTGCGCCGTTGATGATCAGTTCCAAGATATAGAAGGGCAGCGTTGGACATCCGTTCACTAAACTCAGGGCAACGGTGGTGACGGACAATGCCGCCATGGCAAGATAGAGAATAATGTATGCCCTCGAGTGCACGAACCGATTTGCAAGACCCTTTGTGATCTCTTCGCGGGTCATCGAGTATATTGAACGCGTAGGCCTATGTCATGACGAGATGACTATCAACATTTCTAATCCATGAGTCGGCTAGAACGACGAGAACAAGAGGGACGTACACCGAGTCTGACAGAAATTGAGTATCGTAGGCATGTTCCACTCCTGCGTTTTCGACATCTCCTGGTTGTGGGGAGGACATGGTAATCAGCTGTAGTGAGGTTGTGGTTCTGCCGCCGCTGCGCGAGCGGTCGCAAGCGGCATCTCGGCATTGTGACCTCCAAACAAGTATCAATACAGACTCCAGCAGCTCTGTGCACCAAGGTCAAACCAGGCTCGATCCGAGTTCCTGTACGTCCTACCGCTCAGCCCTCATAACACCCGCTCGCATCCGTTACCGTATAATCTGACAACATGGGTGGTGGCGACTTGAATATGAAGAAGTCTTGGCACCCGCTCCTATTGAAAAACCAGGAGCGGGTCTGGCTTGAGGAGAAGAAAGCGGTATGTGCCTCGCCAAATCTGTTCTGAGAGGGGTTTTTAGTGATGTTTACGTGCCTTACAGCTAGAGGAAAAGAAAAAGTTGGATCAGCTGCGTAAGGAGAAGGAGGAAGAACGGCAGTTACAGGAATTGCAGCGCTTACAAGAAGAGCAAACCGGCAAGAAGAGGCAAGAGAAATTAGACTGGATGTACACGACTCCAGCCACGGGAAGTAGCCAAAATCAAAATGATTTGGAGGACTATCTCCTCGGAAAGAAGAGGGTCGACAAGATTCTGACTGCCGGAGAGAATGAGAAAGTGCGGCTTCCGCAATTTGCAGCCTTGGCCCGGTACTCACCTTCGTAATGTGCAGATTGGTGCTGCTCACAAGAATTTCATTGCTACACAATATGCCAATACTGCTCGTGATACTGCTGCAAAAATCCGTGAAGACCCGTTGCTCGCTATCAAGCAGCAGGAACAAGCGTCCTACCAGGCTCTGATGTCTAATCCTCTTCGTTTGCGTGAGATGCAGGAGCGCGCCGGACTTCAGCCGAAGAAAGATAAAAAATCCAAGAAAGAGAAAAGGCAGAAGAAAGATAAGCTGCGGGAGAGATCAGCCTCTCCTTACAACGAGCGGCGACGTTCTAATTCTCGAGATCGCTTTTCACATCGGAAACGATCGTTAAGTCCCATCGACCGACGCCCTCGATCCCCAGCATACACATATCGTCGACACTACCATGTCGACGAAGCTCATTTAAGCAGGCGAGGTCGAAGCCGCAGTCCTACTCCTGATTTCCACGTCAGGCGTCATCGAAGCAGGAGCAGGAGCAGGAGCGTAGATATGAAAAGCAGGAGAGACAGTGACAGAATCCGCACATGGCCGAGGTCCGACGAATCTGACGATAATGGTTACGGCGGGCGGCGGAAGGGTAATCGCTCACCGGATGATAGGAAACGGCGTAGGAGCCCCAGCCCGTACTCTACTCTACCCCTGAAGCATTCGCGCATGAGTCCGGTTCCCCGCTTACCGCCAGCAAGCCAACCTGTCAAGACTTCAACGAACGGCACTGAGGAACGCGCGGCACGTTTAGCAGCCATGACTTCCGATGCAACAACCATGACACAAGATCGTCGGGAACGTCTTGCCCTTTTACTCGAACAGGAGAAGGCCGAGGCCGAAGCTGAAGGGAAAGCAAGAGCGAAGTCGAAGGGCATGGGTGGTTTCTTGAGCCAAGAACAGAAGAAGGTATTTGGGGGTGCGGGTGGTATCGAGGAGCGGATCCGAAGAGGCAGGGGTCAAATGCGTGTTGACGCAGATTGAGTATGGTGCGGTGACATTATCCTATGGCAATTTGCCGGCGATTCTGCTGTCTGTACTCACGATCAAGATAGACAATTACGGTTGAGTACCCGCCGGTCCTCGGATAAATTATGTCGTTATTGCTATCTACGAGCTACCGAGCTCTAGATGAAGATGATCGCGAGACGAAAGTTTTTGTATCACTATTATGAACGTCTGGGGCTCTTGAAGTTGCAGCTTAAGGAATTACATGCGTGTTCATTTCACGAAGCTTTGATCGGCGTTCTGGATGTCGATGCTTTTCCGGAGTTGATTTTACATCGCTGTGTCGACCACTACATAGGGTACAGCCTGAGCGGGAGGCAGGTTCTCGTTCCACGACCCCGAGCCATTACAAGGAAATGTACATTTTCTTGGTGAGGAAAGGCTTATCCTATTCAGTTGGCACCTTTTCGATGCCTACGCCTTTTTATCGCAGGACGGAAATGGACATTTCTATATTGTGAGCCTGTCTCCACGACTTGCCCGGGCGCACCTCAGGATACTGCTGGAGACATACTAGCAGAAACCCCATATTTATGAGATGTGTTAGAGATGTGCGACTATGGTTGTCCTCAAACATCTCAAAGGGACTAGGGACTTGCCACAATCGTGTCGTATAGTTCAAAGACTATTTCTCGTTGTGAGCACTATGAGTAGTGACAGGGTCGCAATGACTACTTTGATACATAAGGTACACAGCAGCACGGCCACTCCGCAGGCATCGATATCTGTGTATTAAGCGAAGTATGCTGGTTCCACTCCGAAAGCAGGACTGACGTCAAGCGTTATGGTCTCTAAGCTACCGTCAATTGGGATGTCTTGAGTCCGGATTGTAGGTCGTATGAGAATGAGAGGCGAATAGGTGCGAGGTATCGAGAATAGGATAGTGGACACCCTGTATAAAGTCTGGGGTAAAGTGGTTTTGGTCGAACGTGAAGGCGCCCGCAGGCATGTTGACTCCATTGACGCTAGCATGAGCAATGGAAGAGGCGTCTGCCAGGTTGTCTTGCATGAAGTTTTCGTCGAAAGTAGCATCCGAGGGCCACCACTGATAGCCAGGATAGGATATGGAGTCGTCCACACCTGTATCAAGTCCTAGTGTGTGATACATGAGACGTGCACTAGCATCCTCATCGTATGTTGGTCCAGGATACGAGAACTCGGATTCTGAATAGACACCTCCTGACGGCATTCGATCGATGTCGACTGAATTCTTTTCAGAGCCCATGGCTTCCCCCATAGATCGTTTCCGCCTCAGCGCATTGTCTTGTATGGAAAGAGAAGTCTGGTCCTGTTTGACTTGCGCACCCTCAAGGAGGTTACGTACTCGAGAAGCACTTGGCCAGACACGCTTTGTAGAGAAAGAAAGTCACGCTTATGCATCATAACGGGTGCAGTGGACATACCTGCATATGCTCCAGAGCCTCGGTGCATTGTCTGAGTCCAATTGTGGCTTGAGTATTCCGAGGTTGTCTTGTCACTGTAGTCGATTGTTAACAATCATTTCAACGAAACAGACAGCAGTCATACATGTTATGATATGCATGATTCTGTGAGCGAGAATTTGTCAGCTGCGAGCTCGTACGATATATAAAATACGCACCCAGCGGTCTGGAGGTAAATTGACACAAATGCGGGTGCACTATTCAACCCGTACTTTTCGTGATATACAGTCACTTTACAATTCTGCATAAGTGTCGCTGAAGCACTTGCGGTCGTAGCAGTGACGGACCTATAGAACTTATATGCGACGCCGCACTCTGACAAATGTCAAAAGATTTTAGAGGTATAGGATCCACTTGGAGGCTTCCCTCGTTCGTAGGGTGTCTGAGTATGCCTGGTTAATGTCTCGTCTTGTTACGGATTATGTTCTGCTCACGATCTTGGGGAAGGAATACTATTTAACGGTCGACATCAACGGAATGTACATTATGACCACAACGAGGATGATCAGAGGTGAACACTCACAATGCCCTGTGAAGCAAAAGAACCGCAGAACAATACTCCATATGAAGGACAAGCACATGCGGAGACGGTGTATGGAGGCTACTTGTCGTGGAGTATCTGAAAGAGTCTGGCAAACCAAAGAGCCAATTATGCAGCCTCGCCTCCAGCTGCTGCAACAACGTCCGTCGTGGCGTATCCGACGACGGACGCACGGGATAGATACGATCCATAATATCAGTAATGATGACCGCTGATTTCGGTAATGAACATCCAAAACAATCGACCAGACGGAAAAACTGACATAGTTCACACTGCTTTTGGAAGCAGCTCATCAACTTAGCAGGTTTGGGGGAAAAGTCATGTCCGAGCGCGTCCGGAGGATATGGTTGCCAAACTTCGTACTCTTCACTCTATAATGCACGTTACATGCCCGTCGATTAGAGGAGGCCAATACAAGTTCACGCACATCATTCAGATCAGGTATCAATGTCGAATAGTCGTTTGCTCTGAACATAATAGGTCTACCTGAAAACAGGGCTTTAGGAAATTGAAACGATGTCAGGGAAAACGCGTACCCATCCACATAGCTGATAGTCTGGACAATGCCACACTCATTGAGCACCGAGTGGGTATTAAGCATCAAATATAAACGTACTTGTCAGTCATACAACATGACCACCATATTTGTTTCCTCCTTTGCTTCTCCACGGGCGTGAATAATTCTCTCCCGTTGCTTGTCCACTTGTCTGCATTTCGGTTCATTCCAAGATCAATCGCCTACACAGTCAGAAAATTAACATCTCGCCAAGCAAATGAATATTCTAAGATGCAAGCTGACCATCCGCAACGCCATTCCTGGTAAGGAACATATGTTAACTTTCATGTTGCACAGATATGATACAGACACAGCTTACCGCTGTACAGCCATCCTTGTTCCATAGATCCTACCCAATCATTAGGACGGTTGGAGTAGTAGTACAATAGAAGACACCTCACCTATGCCAAACTCGCGTATTCCAAGTAACAGTAGTGCCTGGACGGTTGATGGCTGACTGAACTGGTATATATTATCTGCCGAATCGCACGTTCATTAACTCGAGCTCTCTGAGGCATTCCCGCCAGCGGAATATGTTAACTAGAGGAACTTACTTAGAATCTGTCTTGCCCGCATCGCATACGACACACCCTCATTCAACATATCCTCGCTTTGACTTCCGGGCAGTTTGTTGTCCCAGAAGCGCGCAGCAATAGAAAACATAGCGAGTAGCAGCAATTTATTCATCTTTTGCATTCGCTTTGTAATGGCCGCCGGCCGCCCAGCGCAGTGTTGGGAATCCATACTTTGGGACCTGATTACAAATTGGAAACGTACATTTGACTGAGCCGCGCCGAGTCCAGAAAACAACCAACGTACGTGGAAAAATCGGACATAAAATATTGTTTATGGATGACGGGAAAGAACGGATGGACATAAGTGAAGTATAGGTTGATCAAATGCTGCTGGGTTTCCATTGGGGGAAGTGGAATTTCAGTGGCATCTTCGGCATCGTTGGAATGAAAGTCTTCTGACAGTGCTTCCTGCTTGAGCTCGGGGAAATTCCTACAATATGCTAAATCTAGATAAGTCTGTTCAGTCACGAGGATAATGCATACCATAACGCATCGGGTTTGCGTCCGCCGTCTTTATGTTCACTCCTTGCGAGGAGCGGAAGGCCTGAGGCATGTCCATGATAGCGGATCTAGATTTTAATTGACGCTGATCAACATGCAGATGCGACATGTACGTAAATAACGTACCTCTTTGTGATCATCCAGTGCCAAATGGCCGAATGAGTCTGTCGTGTCGTCGACTTCATCCAAAGTAGAGTCTGCAGTAAGAGATATCATCAGAAAGTCGGACAGTCACGAAATAGACGTACAAGGCTCATCCGATATCTCTTCCCCCCGATCCGAATGGAGCACAGATTGATCTGGTACGTATGTTGTCTCCAATTTTCTTCTTTGTCTTTCTGGGCCCAAGTTTGGTGAAACGCTCTCCTGGTGACGGGAGGAAGAAGAATACGACGCTGGGCTTGCATTTCTATATACAGGAGTCACCGAGTGGTATTCGGAGACCCGCCCCCCAGCTAAACGACGCATGAGTTGTTCTTGCCATTCTTTAGTCGGAGTAGCGAACATGTTGGAGTCTTCGATGGACACTATCTCGCGCGTCAAACGTGATTGTCTTCTCACACGGCGGTCGTCGCGAGCATTGGCATCGGGTGCGCCCATGATCGTCGCATAGAAGTTCTCGGATTTGGAGGTTTGAGACTGGTGCTCCCTTGCGCCGGGGCCATAGGGACCGGACTCGACACGGTCGAGGATGGCACGAGAGAACGGATCGCTACGCAGCTCTGATATAATGTCCTGCGCTTGTGGAGTGACCATGATGGTGGCTAGAATACATTCGACTTGGTGCCACCGCTGCTCGATTGCATGAATGTAGCCTTTTGGAGGCCCTCGCTTGAAACTCGGACCCTGGAAAGTGCATGCTAAATATATGACAAAGGTAAGTGAGGTTCCCAGTATACGAGAAAGAATATTACACACAAATATTGGCGGCCGCACAGTTCTTGCACTTGTCGCCCGTGGTAGGCTCGCACTTGCTCTTGAGTTTGCGACATCTGTCACAAGCTAAGGCGTTCAGGGTGAGAGTAGGCCAAAGACCACGGCGCTGAGAACACACCTCTTGTACCACGCTTGATAGTCTTGAAGCTGAATGAGCCGGGATCGGGGTCGTCGTCGCTATTGCCAGGATAAGGGCGCAGGTCGTATGCGTAGTCGGTGAGATTGCTCATCATGTCTGGAAGTCAAGATGAGAGTCACTGCGACGAGGCGTGAGTGTGATGTATATTCCGCCATGACATCAGTGGAGACCCCGCTCGTCGCGACATTCTATACGCGTACACGTCTCACGTGATGGTGTCGCACTAGACGCGTCCTGATCACGCCGGGCACTAACCTGCTGCTATTACTAGCGGATTCGAGCTCGACATGCCTGCAGACTCTCCCCTGACGTTCAACCGTGCGTGTCTCATCGCCCTTAGTATACACAGTATTTGACTCGCTGCCAGAGGCCGTTCGTGGCATCGCGGAGTTCAGTGAGCTATCTACTTTGTCGATCGTGGATACTGTGTATATGACTATGGCCTAGTCGAAGTGGCTATACATACCATCCTGTATATCAGGCAAATATATCCTGCAGAGCTTTTCGTCCGCAGGAAGAAGTACAACACCCCCGTTTTTCAGTCTCGTCATCCTGCCTTGAATGAGTATATATCGGGTGCCATCAAGGCTATTACAGAAGAGCTTGTGCTTGTGCGTCCCGTGGTCTCCTAGATCATGTCTTTTATGACAAGAGATACTGACATACTACCGCGCAACGCAGGGCCACGTAAACAAAGTCGTGGTCGTTATAAAAGATAAAGAGGAGGTCCCTCTTGAACGATTCATCTTCGCGCTACAGTGCATGATTGAGCTAGAGTCTTACAACAAAGACACTAGGTAAACATCTCATTTGTGCTGTCCATTTGCCCGTTTATCCGTTAGACTTATCTCGTCTTAGCGTTCAGGAAGCTATGACCTCCACCGCCCTAGGGCAGTATTTCCGCTCGTTCATGGTGAAGCTTAACATGGCTGAGGCCCAACTGGGCCAACTGGAAATGTGCGGTACGGCCCCTTTCGCCAAGATAGCCAAACATGTATGCTATAACAATATTGTAAACATAATAGATGATCTTTCGTTCGCAATCGTTCTTGAGTTGCAAGATGATAAAGCACCCGCAGCTTCTCATGGACAGGTATTCGCATCGTCAGTGTAGCATGTCAGAGACTAATGGTAGAGGCAGGACCCACCATCTTGGATTCCAGCGACAACCCCCCATACAACGGCGGGCACACATGAAAATGCAGAGCTGCACATGATCCGTGCTGTTGACACTGGTATTATTAACGCAAGTCACCCACCGTGTAGCTGCACCAGTAAGAGGCATGGCTAATAATCAATACTCCATCCTAGCTGTCCGTAGCCGTGCAAGAATCTGAAGCAAAGCTGAAACGGGGACAAGAAGACCTCAAAGGAAAAGGACGAGCATCGTGATTGGGTCAAGGAAAATCTTGCTATATTATCTGCAATCTGTAGCCTATTTGTCATGTATCAATATTTGATATCGGGTCCTGCACGCTCATGTTAGTGTAGCATAATGCATACACTACTAGCACACCGAAGTAGTCATGCGTATGGAGCAGGTAGAATTGGCATTTAAACGTCCACTCGAATGCGCTGAATAATGGGTATGATGCGCTCCCACTCTTCCATTGCCTGAGGTAGCAGTGAGATGTTACGAAAGATGATGAAAGAAGAAAAAAACCGCTGACCGCCTTATAAAACTCAATTTGACCATCTGCCAAATTACCAAACATCTCCTTCATTTCAGCGTCCTTGGAATACTGGAAGACAGTTTGCTCGCAGAGGACTTCGTCACTAAAGGCATCAGACGTCTCATGCGCTGTTGTGACTGCATCTTGAAGCTATGAAACCCATTCAGCATGCTTAGAATCGCATCAAAGGGAATAGAAAGGAATGTCTACCTCCTTAATCTTCCCATCCAACTTGCGCATCTTTTCGACGCGGCTCCTATCATCATCAGCTCCACGCAATGCATCTACCCTGTCTTTGAGGTATGCACCAAGACCAAGGCCAGTACTTCCGGCGTGACCACTAATGACGGCTGCGAGCCTGTCGCGCTCCGAGGTGACACCTGACAGGTAGTCGGAGAGCTCTTCGAAGTCCATCTGCTTTTGGTCTCGGAGCTTAAGGACCGCCCGGTTTGCGTGTGAGTAAGTGAGTAATGAGTGGAGGTGTACGAGGAACGGATCGGATGTCGTATGCGTCTATCTTTCGAGTTTCACTCGCAGTCAGCGAGAGCAAAAGACAGACGTGCGTACCGTGTGTCGTAAGAGTGCAGAAAATTCCAATAAGGTGTTTGAGAAGTGGTTCAACGGGTCCGTAATCCCCGATTCCAAAAACCCTAATCCTTGCACCGCGACCGCAAGATCATGATAGTCGCCGGTGAGATCTTCCGCCGGTACAGTACCGCCATCTCTTTCAGCCTCAGAGACTCGCATGCGAAAGAGACCCAGGAGGGCGCGACAGGGTAGGAAAATACGCACCATTTGTTCGATTCCGCACTCGGCTCCAAAGACGTTCGGAGATTGCAATTCCTTCCTCAAATTTGTCGACGGACTCGCGCATCGTGAGAAAACGCTCGTCAGGCTTGCGTACACGAGAGAAAGCGTTGAGAAGGGTGTCGGATATGGTGTCTATCATGCCAGTGGAAGATTCAGGACCCGGTGGATGGGCAACATGTTGGTGCATGTGGACGTGCTACAGGCAATTGAACATAAAGAAACATCTACTGCATCAAAATAACTCACCCATTCCGTCGACTCAAAGAACGCGCGGAGAAGCGTACTCCGCTGCAGCGTCGGATGGCGTGCAAGCCGCTGTAAAAATCGATGGAGGCTTAATCCAATGTTAGAATCGCGACTCCTTGCAGCAAGACCGTACGGACATACTCTAATCGGCGTCGCTCCATGAATTCCGGACTGAACCTATCTCCCGTCACATATTCTATCGGAAGCAAGCGTCTAGAATGATTCCCCACTTAATGATTAAAGTTTCTACGAACCAAGCCTGTGCTTGTCCGGCAGTGGAGGGACCACACATGCTGGGAAGTCTTTGGCCAGATGGTCGCGTAGGAACACAAAATCCTGAAAGCGCCTCCTTGATGAGGGATTGGGTGTTGAGAACATGGGCAAGTTGGTCTGTAGAAGATTCAAGCATCCGGTTGATGTAGAAACGACGACAAGACTCGCCTTCGCGGAGACCAAGTACGAAACATATGCATCCTTGGTCTCGGCGAGCTCCTTAACTGGGTCTTTCACACTCGTTATGAGATAACCCCCCCATTTTGGATCGTGAGGCCCCCTTCCTTCATCGCTCTCAGATGTGCTTTGGCGGTATCCAGGACCAATATGCGCAGAGGGTCCGCCAACATCGGTGGCTGGCGCTGCAGGAGACTCCCAGGTGACGCTGTCGAAGATATCTTCATCGTCTCCAAGCATGGCGAAGACGTAGATAGGAGAGGGACAAGGCGGGGTTCCCTAGGCACAGAATGACAAGCAATTGGGAACGGAAGCTGCGCAGCAGCAGCGGTTGAGTTCGGCGGGTGGGATATAGACACAGAGTGAGTGTGACAGACTTGAACAACAGTCGTCAACACTTCTCCTCCGTCCGCCATGCTGCTCGGTCACTGGCGATGTTTGTCTCTCTATTCCTTTATATTCTTTCTCTTCTCCGCGACAGCATATGAGGTTCCAGTATCCGACAAAGACTATGACCGACAAATATGCTCTGGAATGTGGGCAAACCAGAAGACATTCATCAATGGCATGTCTCCTGTGCATTTATAAATACTAACATTAGCTCACGCGCCCCAAGTCACTTTTGATAGTACTACTCAGGGCCAGCTGGCCATGGTCGTATACGAATGGAGCGATATGCAGTATCTTGGGAAAGTTACATCCGACGTGAACGACTTGCCTGTGAGCAATGTTTATCGGTCTTATGCACGTCATTTTGAACCCAGATGTCATAGCAGAAGACGTATGTTTGCACGTCTGACGCTATCAGAGGAGGCTACTGTGAAAATTCACAACTCGGACGATTCATTGTCGATCTTCCCACTGGAAAGTCTCTAAACGAAACTAGCTTCTGGTCGGCGAGGGTGAACTTCCCCCAAAATGTAACTGCTTCGTCCCTGTTTCCGTCGTCGGACGCTGCCTCTACTAGTGGATTTTGGAATAATCCTGAGGGCAACCCTACACCTCCTGGGAGTAATTACACATCATCTTGGCGTAGGAATGCCGAAGTACATTCCAAGCGACAGGGATTGAATCCCAGTCCATCTGGCATTCTGACCTATCACCAGCCCATTCAATATAAAGTGCGTAAGACTGGGTATTATTGTGTCGGTAAGTCATCCCAGCAGCTCCTCGGCTTGTTCAACAGCGAATAATCTTCGCCAGCGATTGTCCCAGTCACGGTCTTGTCGAACATTCCTCGTCAAACTTCCACCGATGTCCCTTATCACCCTTTATATACCGGCACCGTACTATTCCAAAATACGTTTGATGGCAAGCTTCCGGCGACGGACTATCCTAAAGTCAATGTGAGGGCCGCTTCCCTAGTTTGTGTTTTCATACTTCTGATATCGCACCTACTGCAAAGTTTTACTTTGCAATGTTCATCGTTTATTCAGCCGTCGCTTGTGGCTGGGCATGGCTCTGTTACAGGAATTTTCAAGACCTGCTCCCTATTCAGGTACGCGTTGCGGCATTATATGTAGCCTCATGGTTCAAAATGTATGCGGTGTCAGTATTACTTGTCTAGTCTCTTGGGTTTCCTCATTATCGAGATGGTAGCAAATTGGGGTAAGTATTCAGTATCCTCGAAGCTCTGACCCCTACACATTGATTTGACAGCATATTATCGCTATCTGAATGCTCACGGAAGAGGGGCTCCGTCCACTGTCTTCCTCATTGTCGGTACATAAACCCCCTAACCTCACCTGTTATATGAGCTGACATCATTTAAGTGGCTATCCTGGACGCCGGACGTAATGCGCTCTCTTTCTTCTTGCTGCTCGTCGTCTCTCTGGGTCTGAGTGTTGTCCGCGAATCTCTCGGAAAGACGATGTTAAGGTGCCAAGCATTGGCTGTTGCTCATTTTCTATTCGGCGGTAAATTTATCCAGCTCTTGTCGAGGAGTCTACTAATCTGATGTGATTTGTATAGTTTTGTATGCCGTGGGCATTGTAGAGCTTGAGCTGCAATCCACCTCAGCTTTGGTCTTGCTGCTCTTCGTTATCCCACTAGCATTCACACTCAGCGGCTTCTTGCTGTGGATCTTATATGCTCTCAACTGTGCGTGGACTTGGTTTCTCCCTGTGCCGCTTTGGCTAATTGCCTGTTTCAGCTACTATATCGCAATTGGCCGCCCGAAGGCAGCACTACAAGCTGTCCATGTTCAAATGGCTGCATCGTATCCTATTGCTGACTGTGTTGGTCATTGCGGTCTTCTTCGTCGTGTCATCTTTGACGTTCTCTGGGCGGCTCGCCGAAGGTTCGTCTGGGGCCATCGTGCCATCTTCTATCTCAGCAACTCACGTTTTGACTTCCATCTCACCTAGATTACGGCTCGAAGTCGTGGAGGGTGCAATGGTGGCTGCTTGACGGCTGGCTGGCACTCCTCTATCTTGTCGATTTTATTTCTATCGCATATCTTTGGCGACCGTCGCCTAACAACAGAAGATAGGTCATTTTTAAGATTTCAATGACGGTAGTACTAATCTGTTGTTATCTTCACGCTCGCGATGTTCGACGAGCTGGCGCAAGATCCAGCAGATGCTGAAGACTATGATCTCGATGCGATGGAGCGACATATTGACGCAAGAGGCGTGATAGACAGTGAGGACGATGCTGCAACCTTGGTTGGACATCGGGGCGCTGGTTCCATTGCCGAAGATGCTATTGTCTTCGACATTGGGGACGAAGATGGAATTGGTAGTGATGATGACGAGCCAAGTGCAAAAAAGCGAAGGGGAACTTCTGAGCGCCACGAAGGCGACGACCACGAGCGGGAAGGGTTAATGAAGGACGATTAGGTTCTCGAACATACATTCATTACATTAAGTCATAGCATCTGTAATATACATGCACAATATCTCTAGTACCTGCGGATGAATGTCCCATACTGAACTCAGTCCCTGATGCGTCCCGTCGACACCGTGTAGAGACGTGCTGCGATGTTCATGCTTTGCAACTCCTGTGGAACAAAGTCAGTAACACAGAGCAATACTTGACGACAATATTAACCTGGAACAGCAATTTAGCGGCGTAAGGAATGTACAATTGTGAGCACGCCGTCTTGTTCTTGCAGGATCGACACTCAAACGTTTGTTTTTTCTGGGCAGGCATGAAAGTAAGTGTCGATTTGACAATCAGTGTCATGGTAACTTACAAGATTTGCGATAGCCGTAAGTCCGCATCTAAAAGGCATTTTCAGTAATGAACAATTAACGTAAATCAATATACCCACATATCGCAAACGTGTAACCGATACGCATCGCTGGCCTCAAACAGTCGCTCCTTCAAGAAGGCAGCAACACCATGAGAAATCATGCAATCACGCTCCATCTCTCCAAACCGCAGACCACCATCACGGCTACGACCCTCGACTGGTTGCCTGGTGAGAATCTGCACAGGACCTCTAGCACGCGAGTGGATTTTGTCGTCGACCATATGCTTAAGTCGCTGGTAGTATGTCGGACCTAAGTACACTTGTGCCTGGAGCTTGCGACCAGTATGTCCATGGTACATGATCTCTAGACCTCGTGACTGGTAACCCTTCTGTCGAAGGAACTGCGACACCGACTCCACCGTCAGATCAGTGAAAGGTGTAGCATCACCCTCGTTACCAATGAGAGTCGCGACCTTGGAGAGCAGACACTCGACCAAATGCCCGATTGTCATACGGGAGGGAATGGCGTGAGGATTGATAATGAGGTCTGGCGTGATGCCTTCCGCGGTGAATGGCATATCCTCTTGACGGTAGGTGATACCGATGGTACCCTTCTGACCGTGACGAGAAGCAAACTTGTCGCCGATCTGCGGTATACGTGTGGACCGTACACGGATCTTGACAAATTTCTGACCCTCGGCATTCGTCGTGATCAAGACCTGGTCAATGATACCACTCTCGGTGCTCTTCAAGGGCGTCGACACATCTCGTCGCGTGTGCGCCCGCGTCCGCTGTCCTAGCTCTTCGCTATCCGGAGGAATGGGGGCAGTCTTACCGATAATGATATCTTCACCGTTAACACCAGTTCCGGGGGCAATTAAACCATCATCCTCAAGTTTGTCGTACGTTCCATGCTTCATACGGAGCGTGTTTTCACGAGTGGGCTTCTCAAACTCTTCCAACTGCTGAACGCCACTTTTCTTCTCCAAGTCCATGTAGCTCCGGTAGTACATACTCCGGAACAACCCACGATCAATGGAACTTTGGTTCATGATGACGGAATCCTCTTGGTTGTACCCACTGTAGCACAGGATAGCAACGATAGCATTTTGGCCGGCAGGAAGTTCTCGGAAGCGCAGGTATTCCATGGAACGAGTGGTAGCCAGTGGTTTCTGAGGATAATATAGAATATTGGCCATAGTATCCATTCTTACTAGGAAGTTGGTCAAGTAGATTCCCATGGCTTGTTTACCCATGGCAGATTGGTACGTATTACGAGGAGACTATGCAGTGCATTAGAGCGCCCGAAGCCTGGGCGAAAGGAACACTCACCTGGTTGTGATCGGGGAAGGGAATGATGCTTGCACATACGCCCAAAATCATGCTAGGATGGATTTCGCAATGTGTCCAAGTATGCGCAGTGATGGTGGGCTTTAGTCGCGCCGCTGGATCAAAGTCGGGATCGTTCGCATGCGGATCCATTCCGCTGGACTGGAGCCTAGAGTTCTCCAAGTCTTCGGGATTCATAGAAATCATGACTGTTTCCTCTTCTTCTGCGTCAAGAAGCTCGATCACACCGCCTTTGATGAGTTGATCCCACTTGTATTGCTCATTCTGATCATCCACGCCGTCGTTCAAATACTTGATATGTTTTTTGGTGAGCAGCAGCTGCTGGTTCTCAACGATGAACAGGGGTCGGCACACACGACCGGCGTCAGTGTACAGGCGTAGTTCTCTCTCCCTAATATCCCGCACGACCGAAACTTCAGGGCTAATATCGTCCTTTCGACGAAGTTTTTTGATAGTCTTGACCAAATTTGCAGGATCTCTGTGGACACCCATCCATACACCATTGACGAACACTTTCGTGCACGGTGTTGCTGAATGTGCATTCTCCTCCAAAGACTCTAGCCCCCACTCTTCCAGAAACTCGATGACAGGTGCAGAGAGAGAGCCGACGGAGATACAAGACATGAGAGACAAGTTCTTGACGAGACCACAAGCCTGCCCTTCAGGGGTCTCGGCAGGACAAACCATGCCCCAGTGGGTATTGTGCAACTGGCGAGGTTTCGCAATTTTACCTTCACGTCCAAGCGGAGTGTTGCATCGACGCAGGTGAGACAGAGTCGATGCATATGTGTAGCGATTCAGCACCTGCGACACACCAGCTTTGGACGCCATCGACTTCTTCTGATCACCCCAATTGCCCGTGGCGAGTGAATACTTGAGGCCATTTGTGATCGTATTGTGCTTGACAGCCAGGTTAAGATTGAACTCCTTATGAGTCTCCACACACTGGATGTAATTCAAAATTTGAAGAAAAATTCCTATGCGTGTTGAAGAGACTTACCTTCTGAAGATAGCGGTAAACGTCTTTCGTCAGCTTGCGGAAAAGCATGCGAAACAAATTGGCCAGCAGAGGTCCAGCCAAGTCCAGTCTCTTCTTGCCGAAGTGGTCACGGTCATCCAAATCTCTTCGCTCCATGGCCGCCAACAGCAGTCGATGTATCATATAGCCGAAGAAATACGCTTTCTTCGACTCTGAACCCTCCGCCATAGAAACGTGGGGCAGCATTTCCTTTTGCAAAATTTCCTGCGCATATCTGAGACGACGCTCACGATTGAGGCCGGTGGTCGTGCCACGATTTCCAATGAAGTCCAGTGCGACCTGCATGTCATGTCAACGTACAAGGTGCGGAATAAAATAGGCACACAAACCTCGCGATCCTGGATCACGAAGCCGTCGTCAATACATGGTTTGAGCATCTCAAGCATTTGCGCATCCTGCATGTCATAGCAGATGTGCTCGAGAATGTCACGATCCGAAATAACGCCGAGGGCGCGGAAGACAACCCAGATGGGGATGTCGACCCTAATATATGGGATTGTAGCCTTCATAACATTTCCGAGCTGCATTGAGGTAAACGTTCAAAAAGCCTGCGCCACAATTACTGACGAACATTCGACTTACCGAACGCTCCTGGTTCCGGTGGAATAGTTTCACCTGGAACTGGCTGATTGTCTTTCCTCCCCGCTCGACAGCACTGCGGATCTCCGCGAGGAAACTGATAGGAGAAGGTTGTGCCTTAGCGAAGACATACACATGGTTCGTAGCCATCCGCTCTTGAGCAATCAACACCTTCTCCGATCCATTGATGATGAAATAACCGCCAGAGTCGAAGGGGCATTCGTTCAGGTCGTATACATCTTCGTCGACCAATCCGTGGAGGATACAGAATGAAGAGCGCAACATGATCGGGACCTAGAATTAAAGGCTCAACAGACCATACTCATACCACATCGTACTAAGACGGACGCACCTTTCCAATCCACACCTTCCTCGTGTCCTCAGGATTCTCCTCATGCTCCGGCTCCCAAGTCATATCCCCCGTCAAACTGTCCGGATCCTCCCTTCCTACCAACACTCGCTTCTTCATCTCGATGTACAGTGGCGCGGAATACGTCAAGTTACGCAGGCGAGCCTCCTGAGGGAAAACGGGAGCGACGGAGCCATCCGCCTCTGTTACAGTTGGTCGAGACAAGTAAATCTGCCCAAACTTGATCTCGTAACGCCTGTTGACGTCCCCATCGTGGCCAGTGTGCTGGTCGCTCTGATCAAGAATCAAGTCGGCGTTTTCGTCCACTAGTTCTTGCATGGTGTTCTGCACGAACTCGTCGAAAGAGTCCAACTGTTGTCGGACGAGACCCTTCTGCTCGAAGAAGCTGGAAATGACTGTCCAGCAGTCCTCCTGTGTGATCGTCTCATACTCTTCTTCGTCGTCCAGTCCATACCCAGTTTCGTCGTAGTACCCGCTCTGGGTGAGATCGAAGTCCGTAGCTATCCAATGCCCCGTCAAATATGTTCACTGGGAGAGAAAGAGCCTCCGCACACCTTGACTCATTTTGAAGACAATCAAGAAGTATAAGACTGTATTATGAGCTCAGGACAGGAAAGAGGCGTCGTGAGAGCGGAGCAAGACCAAGTTGCGTGATGGCTGCAGTGAGAGGACGCCTCCGAGTCGGCGACGCTGTCGTGAGTTTACAGCTGCAGCTCAAACAGCTTAGACGCTGACAAAGCAATGTGACTTCCGCTCGTGGCAAGTGTAACATCCGGCGTACACGATCGGTCACAGGTGTGATACACGCGTCAAGAATCACGCACATTTTCTTGCTATGCCCATGATGTGCAGGGTCCCAGAAACGCTTGCTCTACCAGGAAAAAGAGCTGACATTTCTCTATTTTGGATGCATTTATAGCAGATACATTGACAGTCTATCTACCGAAAACATTCTCGCGATCCTCAAAATCCTCGGTCCCCGGGCCCAAGAAAATGTGCCGTCACAGAACACGATCCTATTTGTCTTATCGCAAGTAAATCGCTGTCTGCGCGACATCGTGCTTCAGCTCCTTGCGAGAGAGATCGCGGCCTACAATTCTGATGAGTTTCTGCTACCCGTAGACTACTTCCAGGGCCGTGGTAGGAAACGCGCGAAATGCGTTCGATGCGTCTATCCGTACTGCAGCTTGCATTGTGCAATTTCCTAACCTAACATAGTATGATTTGAATAGGATTTAATATTCTTGGAATGCTTACGCCCCCCTCCGGACCGGTGTAGAATGTGGTCAGGCCTTGCACCTTATTCGCAGACTTCTTCCCGTTTTGCAATGTGCGCTCCTTCGCATGCTGGAACGGTACGCTCCAGATCAACTAGAACGTCCACACATCACTCGACACCTCTCATCCTTGGGTCTCTCTTCTGGTCAAATAAATAGAGACAGTAGTGCTGTGCGCATTCTCAGCGGTGACTTCGCCTTTGCAGAGTGTAGCAAAGGAGAGCCGCCATCATTCGTGATACTTGTGGGCCAAGAATTGAAGTACTATCGCGTTCATCATATTCAAACCTCTTGAAGGCGTTTATTGTGAGTCGCCTCTTGCCATGTGCTGATCGGGATACGTCAATCATTAGTCCTCATTAGCTACGCATCGTACATGCACTGTTTGATCATAGTTGGAACACAGCAAGGTCAGATATCCCATCCTTATTTAGAACATCAAGGAATTGCCCTTAGAAGTCTGTCCATCTTCTGTCTTGCACTTCTGGCATATGTTCCCTTCCGATGAATGCATCAGTACGTTTCAATGATGAATGCGGTGAACACACGTACACCGAAAAGGACAGTATGATTCAAGTAGTGATACAGTTCATACAAGTCTCCTCGAAGCTCATACTGATCCTCTGGATCTGATTTTGGAAGGTTTTCGTGATACGCTTCGAAGAATGCAGCGGAGATGCCTCCAAAAATTCGTGCCATTGCTAGGCTGAACATATATTTGGGGTCAGATCAAGTAAGTCCGTGAGACGTTACGTAGTGAGCCACTGACTCTGCTTCGTTGTGTCCGAAATATGACGAAGGGTCAAATATGACCGGTTGACCGGTTTTTCTATCTGTCCCCGTATTTCCACTCTGCGATCAAGATAAGGTGCCCCGTCGGTTTTGCTATTTGGATTTGATTCACGCACCCATAGATCGCCGTGCAGAAGGACTGGCTGAATGACGAGGGATCCTAGCAGTGCAGGAATCACGCTACACATATAATGGTCATGAATGACTGCTCTATATCCACTAGGTGATCGCGCACCGCTTCCTGACTTCCTCACCCTGCTTGAAGAGACTCTCGTAGCCTCCTTTCTTCCTGAGGGCATCCAAGAGGCCTCCAATGAGCGCGTCGTAGCATTCCTCCCAAGAGCTGAACCAACCATTCTGCTGCTTTGTGTTGCCGCAGAATGTAGGAACCTGGAATCCAAATCCCATGGTGCTCTTATATGTGTGTATTTCGGTTGCAAGTCTCTTTCCGAGGATCTTGGCAGAGCTATCGGAGAGAGAGCCCATATCTTTATACTCTGAGAGGAAGTATGGCCTCCCGATCTCGCTGTCTAGCTCCGCGAATTGCTTGTCAATTACGCTGCAGGCGATGAGCCGAGGAGCGAGACCTGGTGCTGCAATGTTCATAGCCTTGAGGGATTCTGCCTCGCCGACATACTGTTCTTCTTCGGTGGGAGAGCCTATCTTGCCGATGTAGCCTGCCCCGGATGAAGATAGGATTGGGGGGCACTTGGAGAGAGAGACGGATGCGCTGGGCTCTACCTCTTGGATGTGTTTGACGAAGACGGGGTGAACGTGATTGGGCATCGTCGCTGAGCAGACGAGAGAGGATGTGACGTCAGGATAAACCACTGTCGATGGATCTGATCTCGGGCGCCATTGCTATCATTTTGGGCGCCTACTGGACTTGCACAGTAAGCAACTCTACAAAATATCACATTTCCCTCTCTTCCCACCTCCGACCGTGCATGCTCTCGTCTCTTCCCCTCCATCCTTTCCCTCCCCACGAAATTTCTGATTGTTTAACCAGGGTATAATTCAACAATCATGTCTGCACACTACAAAACGGTCCTCGGAGCAGACCAGTTCTACGCCCTCAACGAGCCTGCCATAGGCTCCGCTTATCCGGACGTACGGGACTTTGATCGCTCTTTACTTTACTCCCTAACATACATCCCGCAATTCAGGACGTATACCCTCAGAATATCAAACTGCCCATCCTCTTCCAGCCGCTAACCTTAAGAGGCATGACGTTCAAAAACCGTATCTTCGTAGTCAGTATTGCTTGTGCTATGAAGGAAAGAATCTATTGATCCTAAATCTCCATAGTCACCGATGTGTCAATACAGCTCGGACAATGGCCACGCCACCGACTGGCACTTTGTTCACATCGGTGTACGCTGATACTTGTTTCGCCCGTTTAAAATGCCTTAATCACGCTCTCATACTATACCAGGGTCTTGCGACACGAGGAGTGGGGGCAATCTGCATGGAAGCCACTGCAGTAGTACCGGAAGGGCGCATATCGCCCCAAGACGCGGTAAGTGACTATATACTAGCGCCCACCATTTGACCGTTGATATTCTTTCGTAGGGGCTCTGGACTGACAGCCAAATTACCCCGCTAAAACGCATCGTCAATTTTGCGCATGCTCACGGGACCCTCATCGGCGTCCAGCTCGCTCACGCGGGAAGGAAGGCCTCGACATACGCTCCGTGGGTCCACTCGGATCCAGCCAAGACACACAAGGCAACGTCATGGATTGCACCAAAGGAAGAGGGCGGATGGATAGGCGAAGGCACGCCATAACCTTGCCGCCGCAACGTCTCCTAACGATACCTGCAGTGTACTCTTCCAGCACCATACCGTTTTTTCCGGACTACCCTCCGCCCAAGGCTATGGACGAGGCCCACATAGCCTATGTTGAGGATGCCTGGCTCACGGCCGTCGAGCGATGCAAGGCCGTCGGATGTACGTCCACTCCATTCACCCACGCCCACCACCCTCCCTGATCCACCTCACGTCGGCTAGTCGACTTCATCGAAATCCATAGCGCGCACGGGTACCTGATGCACCAATTCGTCTCGCCGCTCTGCAATGAGCGCACAGATGCGTACGGCGGACAGCCGCTCGAGAACCGTCTCCGCTGGCCGCTCCGCCTCATCTCGCGCGTCCGCGCTGCGTGGGACAAGCCGCTCTTCGTGCGCGTCAGCGCATCGGACTGGGCGGAGGGCCCCGAGCGCGGCGCGGACGGCGAGTGGAAGCAGTGGGGCATCGAGCAGACGACACTGTACGTTGAGGAAATGAAAAAGATCGGCGTCGACCTCGTCGACGTGAGCTCGGGCGGGCTCTGGGCAAAGCAGCAGATCAATGCGGTACCGGGGTACCAGGTACGATCAATTATGACCTTGCGTCGACCTGCCGATTGATGTTGCATATTGTGCGCCCCAGGTACCGTTCGCCGAGGCATTGAAGAAGGCGCACCCGGACATGCCAATAGGAACGGTGGGCCTCATCACAGACCCCCACCAGGCCGAATCCTACCTACAGGATGGCAAGACAGACGTTGTTTTCCTAGCAAGAGAGCTTATTCGCACGCCCCAGTGGCCCTTGGTCGCCGCTCAGCGGTTGGGCGTGGCTATCAAGCCCGCCAACCAGTACGAGCGAGGCTGGGTTGACGTGGTTACGCCGACGCCAGCCAAGAATTAGATGGTCATGCACGTTACTTCAGAATGGAACAGTGAGGAAGTAGAAGTATTGATAGTGTATTTACAGGTTTGTGTGTAAGGACGTCCTCTATGGACAGGAATTAAGTGCGGAATTATAGACAGCACCTCGAGTGATACTAATGCGCCCCTCGATAACTGCAGGGTCTCTGGATCCCGATCGTATGGCGATGCCGACGACACATGAATCAATAGGTGCTCATACCTTGTCACGAGCCGGGCAGCGGAAAATGTGGACAAATACAAAGTGGTAGTTCTAATCTCATTGCGGCCTATGGTCATTGTATGCTATACAGTACAGTACTTGCTAAGCAGATAGGTCTATATGCCAGGCGTTAGCCTAGACGAATCCAGCAGCGTGAGTATCCATTCCTGCTAGACATCGGAAACACTCACCAGTCATACTTGACAAGCTGGTCCGCGTCAATAATCGCAGCGGATGCCAGCTCGCGCGCCTCCATGTATACCCACACTTTCAGGAACGCGCCGATATTGCCCGACGGCAGCTGCGTCATCGTCTCCTGGGTCGACATCTGCCTGCCCAGCTGCCTCAGGATCGGCAGCGCGCTCTTGAACAGGTCCAGCCCCGGGTCTAGCTGCCGTCCAATGCCCTCCAGGAGCAGGATTGAGATGACCGTGTTCACAAAGTCCGCCTCCATCTTAACGTGGTGCTGCCGCACGGCCTTGAGCACCGCGGTGAGGATGTCCGAGATCTTGATCTGCCCGAGCGAGAACGTCTTGCGCTTCACGTTGAGCACGATGTGCTGCATCCGCAGCGCGAACGTCTCTGGGTCGATCGCGAGCTCGGGCGTGCGGCAACGCTCGACCATGAGCGTGCCTGCGCGGTACCCGTCAAACTCAGCGACGGCGCGGAAGAGGTCGAGGAAGTTCGTGCGGTTGTGTTCGTCGAGCGTCGTCACGAGCCCAGCGTCGACAAAGACGACTTCGGGGACGTAGCCGGAGGCGTGCAGCGACTGGAGCTCTGCCCGCCACGTGCCCGGGTCGTCTGTGAGAGTGCGCAAGTGGTTGACTATGCGATCTGAGCACGCGTCTTCTGCGGGAAGCGGCTCGGGATCGGTAGGTCCGCGCGAATGGAGCACGGCAGACGCAGTGTTTCGAATCGATAGTGCAGTTGGCTTCGTGAACTTGATCATGATATTACCTGGGTGCAAATCCGAGTGGACAAAGTTGTCTAATAATAACATATTCTGAGCGATTGTTTAGACTATTTCACGTATATGTTTCTGAGCACATCCTCACCAAAAACGTGTCTAGACCAACTTCTGCGAGCAGGTCGTCATACGGTCCTCCTCCGTTCTTCAAGAAGAGTTCCAATGATAGTGCATTCTGGTATTCTTCCACCAAAACCTCTTTACTCGTCCATACCGTCAATGGTCTTGGGAAAGTCACTGGAAGCTTTCGTCCGGAGAAATTCTTTTCAAATACCTCCAAGTTAGCTGCCTCAACTCTAAGATCAAGTTGCTGTTGCATCATACGGCCGAATACGGCGACCTCTTCAGGTAGAGAAAGCCACTGTACGCCAGGGAATAACGTAAGTGCTCGCGCAAAGAAGTCCATGATCGCGAGGTCGCGCGCAATGAGCTTAGACACATCCGGGTGGAGGATCTTGATAGCGACAGCCGCTGTCGGGACGGATGGTGGGGGCTCATTGACAAGCGCAGTGGGTAACACATTTTTGCGTGATCGCTTCGGCGTGAGATGCGAAGGCGGAATCAAGTCCTTTCTCAGCGTACCTTTGTACACCTACGGCAATATGAGGACAAGACTGTCAGAATAAAATTACGACAGACCTGAGCAATGGCACCAGTACCGATTGGCGTCTCATCGAACTCCTCAAACACCTCGTTGAAGGGACGCTGGAAAATTTTCTCGATGACATGCTTGGTGTACGAGAGCGGATGCGCCTTTCCGCGCGAATGGAGGGCGCCAAGGCGCTCACATAACAAGACGGGGAATAGGTCGGCGCGAGAAGCAGCCCATTGAGCAAGCTAGAGCTACCCCATTAGCTATAAAATTGGAACAAAGAAGGAGAAGATTGGAGTAAATCAGACATTCCAACAGAAATACTCACCTTGACGAACGTAGGACCAGCGCGCTGCATCTGACTGGTAAGGTATCCATACCACCATACGGCGCCCCATCTATCGCCATGCAACTTCTCGAGTGGGCGGCCAATAACCAGCATGGGGGAGGTTAGAAGAACCGGTAGGAATAAGAAGACCAAATATGCAAATCGTTTCGCAGTGAGGATGGGCTCCCAGATGCGGTCCCGCACAAAGAATATTATGCTGCCCAGAATGCGGGTGTCTGCCGGCTCTGCTGGAGAGAAAATTGTTGGCTCAGCGTGAGAAGATGACAGGGCGGGATATGGGATGAGAGTAGGCGAGGAGAAGACACTAGGAAGAAGGGAGCGGGGCTGTGGGGCAACGTAGAGAGCGAAGCCGCCTACGAGGGGAACTATCCATAGAAGGTTTCGGCTGAAAGGTGGGCGAGGAGCAGCGGTGCGAGTAAAGAATTGTGATGAAAATGGTCTGGAGGAAGGACGGGTGAAGAGGGAAGCATAGGTGCTGCTGTGACGGGAGGCAGTGCGAGCCGGAGACGGGGCAAGAAGGGCATGTCTGAGGCCAGACGGCAAAGCGGTAAAACGAAGGATCATGGGGGCGGCTTTGCAGGGCTAGCGGGAGAGCATGGCGGACGAGCAGCGCTGGGAGGATGCGCACGACGTTGGGTGTGTCGGCCGCCTTGAGAGGACCGAGGTCGCTCGCCGCCACCAGTCGTCATTTCGGCCTGGCACGTGCCCGCGACAGAATTGATGCGTCGGGTTTGCATCGCGTCGCTGCGGGACAGAGTCGACAGAGCCTGCTCGCCGTGGATGCAGACGACCTGCCGCCGCCGCCGCCGCCGCCTGCAGAGCTCAGTGCGGCCATGATGCAAACAAACATGATCGCTGGTCTCCCAATGCGGGGTCTCGTTCAGTGTGCTTCGTGGAGGCCATCCGACGGACCTCCGACCGCATCCACCGTGACCAGACTTGTCCAACGGAAGCTTTTCTCCCACTTTGTAAATTGCAATGGCTCGTCCTCCATTCACCGGTAGAAACACCATCCCACACAATACAGTCGCAATTGTCGCCTCCTCCCCAAGGCTTCTACCAAGAACAACAGAGCGGCAAACGTCACGGAACTGCACAAATGCGTCCATCGACTTCCAATACCGCCCGGTGCGTACATCTGACATTGTTGGGTGTCTTTCCCCACCCGCGAAGGCGTCGCAACCGAGCCCATATCTGGCCACAGAGATGTAAATCGATGCTGATACGGCGGCTGATTGTAGCCAGTCTATTTCCCGACCGTTTTTACGTCTTCGAGCTCGAACACGGCAAACAGACAGCGAACCACATTGGACCCATGAGAGGGCGAGTGCGGCTGCCAAACGCAGTTGATGTTGTCGTCGTCGTCGTCGTTGAGTACTCGGCGGTGGGCAGCGACTCGGGGTGCGGCCAGCGTTGGGGGAAAGAGACTATCGGCGCCTGACCTGAACGTAAGGAGGACGTCAGAGCGGGGAAGATGCTGGATCCGGAGATCCGCGGCGAGCCGGTCCGCCGGTTTGATTCGATTGTATTTCTCTGCTCTCTAGACGCCCGCATACCTTTCCAACTGGTCGCCGACTCGCGACGCGTCCCCGACGCCCCCTCCCCTGCGCTGGGTCGCACAATGCCCATTCCTTATGCCTTTGTATCCCTAGTCACCTCCGACCATTATCTCCCCGGCGCACTCGCCCTCGCCGCTGCCCTCAGGGATGTCCATCCCTCTCCTCCCTCTCCCCCAGAGGTTGACTTTCAGTCCGTGTGCCTCGTCACTCCCGAGTCCGTCGATGTCTCCACCATCAAACTCCTCCGAAGAGCATATGACACCGTAATTGGTGTAGAGCTCATCGAGCAGCATGATGACAAGGGTTTGCAGCTACTTGGTGAGTACACGCTCTTGAAATTTGCAGGTACAGCCGCCATAGCGCCGCCACTCTCGCCTTCTGTCGTTCCGTGGGCCTTGGTTGTGCGGGTCGCGTGGCTCTACGGTGGATATGCAAACGCACACGCGTCACTATCCTCAGTAGTGTCACAGTGAACAACCCTCCCAAATGGTGACCTATCTTACGCTTACGGTTACTCGACCCCCTTCCTCTATATTCGGTGACTTCTAACCCTGCTTAACTACTCGCCTCCCATATCACAGGTCGTCCGGATCTCAACCATGTCCTTACAAAATTACACATATTTCGCCTCACTCGATATTCAAAGCTAATATTCCTCGATGCCGATGTCCTCCCGATTAGACCGCTATCACACCTCTTCACTATTCCGCACGAGTTTGCAGCAGTACCGGACGTCGGATGGCCGGACATATTTAATTCTGGAGTGCTCGTCGTTAGTCCCGGACAGGACAAGTTTAGCGATCTCATGCAACTCCTCAAAACCAAGGGTAGCTGGGATGGCGGCGACCAGGGAATCTTGAATGAATGGAGGGGCGGAGATTGGCATCGTCTCAGTTTCACCTACAACACCACCCCTACCGCCGCGTACACGTGAGTGCCACTAATCGAACGGCCTCTGCCACCTGATCATCTGCTGACGCTAACGTTGATATCTGGAACTATAGATACGCCCCGGCGTATGAACGGTTTGGCTCCCAGATAAAAGCTATTCACTTCATTGGCCCACATAAGCCATGGTCCTCTATACCCTATCGTGCACCTGGTGTAAAAACCGCACAAGGACCAGATCCGGGCGCCTTACCGGAGCAGCAGCGCCAGCGAGCGTACGACTTTGATTCTCTGGTTGATCGCTGGTATGAAGTATACGACAAGTACTATCGCTCCGATCTGCCAAGTGCGCGTGCCGACTTTGAGATCCAACGGTATGCTTCGGTATGGGATGGTGGCACCGAGCTGGGCGCTGAAATGTCCCGAGTCCACGAAAGCGGAGCCGCGCCGCCGCCTGGGAGCGTGCTGGGGTTGGAGGATTTGCGCCGGGTTGCCATTGAGGGGATGAGCAATCTCGGTGGCTCGAGGTCTGATGCGGAGGAGCGGCCGCGGGAGGGCGAGTACCGCTCAATGCCACTGGAAGGACGAGTAGACCTCATGCGTCCCAGGTGCGAGCCAGAACCCGAGCATGTACAGGATGAAGAGGCTTCAGATCAGGCAGAAGGTGGGGATCGGGACTTGACACCCAGACAGGAGGAATACAAGCCACTACATGTGGGAGGCGGAGAGGGACTATGGCTGGAGACACTTCCTACGCCTGGTCCAAATGAGGTTCCCTCTGCGCCATATCTCCACGGATTGTCGTTGCCTCCTACTCCCTTTTATCCTCCGCCTCAAGGTCAGTCAGATTATCGACATGACCAATCTGGTCAATACCGCGACGGGACTCACCCGTCTAGTGGTAGCCCTCATACTAGCCGGCAGCATGAGGTGTCCTATCCTGACGGTGATCATTCTCATGCGAGCTGGCAGAGGCAAGAATCTCATCCTGACGAGGATTATTCTCGTGCCGGCTGGCGGACCCACGACTCTCATCCTGGTGGTAATCATTCTCATGCTGACTGGCAGCGCCCTATACCTCATCCTAACAGTGAACATTCTCGCATTGTCGAACAAAGCCGCGAATCTCATCCTGACGGTGATCATTTGCATGTCGACCGGCAGCACCACGGGTCCCATTTTGGTGATGAATCGGCTCGTGGTAGCGAGCAGAGCCGTGAATTTCATCCGTCTGGTGGACCACCACATATTGACTGGCAGCGCCATGAATCTCATCCACCCAGAGAGCCCCCTCATTCCGGATGGCAGCATCATGCATCACTCCCGCCCCAACAGGGCCAATCCGCTCAAGAGCGACGCGAACCGCATACAAAAACACAGCGTAGTCAACCCGGACGACAGTCCTACGACTCACATCCGCCAGGTTCACCCGTGCAACAGCAGCATGCGTCTCAGCAACAGCATGATCATGGTCAGCACCGACCCCAAGAAGGGCATGGTGAGCATCGTCACCACCACTATCGCCGCTTGGAACCTCCGCTGCCTCGGCCATATAATGGTGAGAGTTCTGACGACCGCGGCCGCGAAGACCAGCAGTCGCAGCCACCGCCTTTCCACCGGCATTCTCCTCCACGGCAGCACTCTCCTCAGCAACATCATCAGCATCATCAACACCAGCATCAACACCAGCACCATCAGCACCAACACCAGCACCAGCACCAGCACCAGCACCAGCATCACCACTCGCCTCCTCGCCCGTCGTCGCCCCCGAAACTTTCCTGGAACCCCGCCATTGAGCCTCCTCCGAACAATCCTCCAGCTGTCAACGCCTTTCCCGATGATACTTACTTTCCCAATGTCTGGGATCAGAAGCCGTCGCAGCAGCACGACGCGGCGCATCAGTTCTATCCATCATCACAACCATATGTCCCGGCACCCCACTCGGACGCATTTTTCCATCCTCCACCACCTGCACACATTCCAGAGCAGTTGCTGCGTCAGGGTCATTACGCTAGTGTCATCGGCCATGCGCAGCCCAACATGCCTGGTTCACCGCCGGCGGCGCCTGTCCCGGATAGGGCCAAGGTACAGGCTGTCTTCCCGTGGGAGGAGAAACCGCGTCGCTTCCCAAAGCGTGTGTTCCCAGCGACGGACTCCCCGCCTCCAGTCGTGAGGTATATTGAGGAGGAGCTGCCGCCTCCGCCGCTTCCAGAGGAGCCCCCGGCATCATCACCAGTGCTGCATGTACAGACACTACCTCCGCCTGTCGGGCTCCCGAACCAGCTTGCATATGCTAACGCGTGGGACTCGGTGCCCAGCATTCAGAAATACGCGTCGCGCCTCGTGAGACCAAACCAGTTCCATCCGCACTATCCCCATGCAGGCGTAACGTCGCCGCAGCGGCGCATGCAGTGGAGCGACGACGATGGCTGGAGACGCTGGGAGAAGGAGCGGGAGCGCGTGGTGCAGGCGAAGCAGGACGCGAGCAGCATGGATGGTGACGATGAAGAGGAGAGCGAGGACAATGATGACTGGGAGGAAGGTGGTAAACAGGATGCAGATGGCAAACAGGGTGAAGGTAACAAGGGTAAAGAGAGGGCAGGGAGCGCAGGCGGGAGTGCGAGCTCGTCGAAGCGATCGCGAGCGGGCAGCTCTGCATCTGCGACTCCATCAGGCAAGGGGAAGAAGTACCGCACCCGCGGTGTGCAGACGATTCCGGTGGAGACACGGAGCCAAGGCGTGCAAGTGAAAATTGCAGCGCCTGAGGATAGTGCACCGCAGAAGGCGAAGGATGGCAAGCCACCTGGGGGCGGCGCACCCAGATCGAAGCAAGACGCGGCGTCCAGTCCGATTAAACCGAGTTTGTTGCTTCCTCCACCCCCGGTGCGCGAGTTCAGGACGGACGCAGACCAGATGGGCTCGGTAACACCTGTCGTTAGTCATGCACTCAGGCATACGATGCCGTTCCCGTCCATGGGCTCACCGACTGGCTTGCGCTCGCCTCAGACGCTTGGATCCCCGAGAACATACTCGCCACCGAAGAGTCCGCCCAAGGCGCCTTCGTCTCCGAAGGGAGCGAGTCCGCCCAAGGGACCGTCGCCACCTAGGGTCGCGAGCCCAACGAAGAGTCCTACCCCCCCTCGTCTCTCGATCCCGTCTAAAGTGCCCTCGCCTCCACAGATTTCGAGTCCACGTAGGCTGTCGGCTGCACATCAACAACAATTCTCCGCAACAGGCAGAAGTGGTAGCCCGCTTGCGACGCCACCAAGTAAACCAGCATCGCCGGTTGTCGGGCGGGCTGCAACACCGCCATACGCGACGCCGTCGCCGAGATTAGCGAGACTCTCGTCCCCTTCGCCGTTCGCGTCGCCTCTTGTGCGTACATCGTCGAATGACACCGCATTCACGTCATCGCCGTCCACCCAAGGCCCGGTGGCGACTCCGCCTCGTCTCACGCCGGAGAGCACTCCAGTGACAGGGCCTGGACAGAAGGGGGGACGGGTGTGGGATCCTGCGAGAGGTGTGGATGTGTTCAAGCGCAGTTCGGAGGAAGTGCTGGCAAGGTTTCTGCGGTTGGGGTCGTTCGAGGATGATGAGCGACGAGGGCAGGTGCAGCACAACCGATGAAGCTGAGTGTGGTCCGCGTTGGTCATTACTGATTCTTCCCCCTTTTATGTTCTCTCTCCTTAACAAAATTCCGCGTCTCTCTTTCTGGCCGTAGCTTCGTATTTGATCGTTATTTTCTTGCTATGCTTTGTGGTTTGTCTGCAATAGTCTGTTCCCGCACGTTCGTTTTCATCCATGATACCATATTGTCATACCCACGGCTCGTGCCCTTGTGCTCGTCTTGCTAAGTCTATTTGCTGGAATTAGAGTAGAGTGTATCATACTCGGACATTCACTTCGGACAATCTCCCAATGATCTCAGAGCCCTTTCCTAGTTGAGCACACGCGCGTGACGTCATAGACAGGTGATCGCGACGCGACGGAGTGCGATGACGTCGTGCGGCGAGCGCTTGGGATTATCCATCCAGTCACTACGCGTCGCACCAACGCCCCACAGACGTCTATATAAGATGGCCCTCAATCCCAGCTTCACTAGAAACGTCCTCTCTTCCTTCACCATCAACTTCAATCACTGTATCTCATTCACTTGGATCATCCTACCGTAACGATGTCTACTCGAGTCGATTCTCCCGCTCCTCCCACTGTTCCAGCCGGCCAGTAAGTCACCACGACCAAACGTATGCACGGAGTATGTGGATGTAACAGATTTTCAGGAGTGACGCGCGCTTTGATACCTCCGTAGCTTGGGCACAGGCAGAGGCTTCCACCAACAAGCTCTCCAGGGAGATTGGTCAGAATGCGGCACAGATACAAGCTGCCGCAGGACAGGCTGCCGACGAAGCTCAAGTTTGTACTTTCGACGTCTGTGCGTGAAGCGTCCTATTGACGGGGGCATCTATCTATCACAGCGTCACGAACCTCAAGTAATCTCCGCAGTGAACCAACTGGAGGCTGGACGCGCTGTGAGCGAGAAGACAACCCAGGCTACCTCGCAGGGCATGTTCGACGTCGAGAACGCCAAAGCAACTGCTGCCAGCGCTGTTGAGCAAGCTAAGAATATGGCAAATAATGCTTACCAGAGTGCACAGGTACCTAATCTATGATATACTTATTGTACCAATGTCTGACTCGTACGCTGTTGCAGTCATTGTTCAATAATCCGCAATCGTCAGATACGTCAACAATGGGGAATGTGTCTTCCACCGTTCAGTCTACGGCTTCGAGTGCCTTCCAAACAGGCAAAGAGTACCTCGCATCGGCGCAAAGTGCTGTACAGCCCCACATTGAGAAGGCGAAAGATATGATGGCTGGAAGCCCCGGCTCGACACAACAACCGAGTGCTCCAGCAGCTAGCACAGCTCCGCTTGAGTCTGGCAACCAAGTCGTCGAGAATCCGTACCCCGCAACCACGACGGGACAGACGACCCGAGTCGGCGAAATCTGAGCATGGATCGGTTTGGAAGTGGACTGACTAGAATATTAGGTGTATCATAACGGTGTATTAGACAATTAATTTATGACAGATAAACGTCCTTCGGATGGCCCCATCGCAGGCTGGAATATAACTAATTATCAGTCATATCCTAATTCTTCGCAAACGCTGTGTTTTCTCATATTCCAACTCTTGCACAACCATCATGTACACAAATGCATCATGTACACAAATGGGAGCTTAGGTGACATGAACTTACTTTCAACCATGCGGACCTTGCTACTATTCTTCTTTCGGTGCACCGTCCATGACCATTGCGTGGGGCAATTGTACCATTCAATCTCCAGAGTTGGGCATGCATCTGCAAACTTACGCATCAAGGATGAAAGTCGCGGCGCATTGCAGGCTTCCCAGGTTTGTAGTAAGAAGTTAGACTTGTCGCCTATTGCTTCCAGGCTCAGATCGACATCGTCACCATAGACTTCTTTGACATCGTCTACATGATCCGCAAGCGGCCCGCGCGGAGGGCATGATTCGCGAATTCCTTCTACTCCTTTCGGGTGGGTGTGGTGCGGGTCAAAGTCGAAAGAACCCAGCTGCTCATATTCAAGCGAGAGCTTCCGCAAACACGACCAATGCCCTAGAACGTCAACACAACTCAACTGTGAGCCAAGTAAGTCCATAGCTTAACGGCATCGATGTTTCCACGATGCACCATAAAATTTGTGAAGCCCGAATTTGGATATGCGGCAGGATATGGGGTCTCAGATGTCAGCTGCAGAACCTCCATTCATGGACATCAGCATAACAGAGTTTTTTTTGCATGGCAATATATAACTACAAAACAATGCCCATTTGATATGATTGATGAAGTTTTTAGACCACCCATCTGTTATCATTGCACCAGTAATGCAATCACAACAGTAGTGCAATTATGGAACTTACAGCTGCTCCTCCTGTTACAGCTTGGAGGGGGGGGTTTCTTTTCTTTCCTAACTATTTGTCGTTGACCCTGTACTATACAACTGATCCCATCACTTGATGTTTCATCACCATCAAGTGTTTCATATCTATTATCTGTTACTTGTTGTCAAGGTATAGCCCTTGACTCAACTCCAAACCCTAATCCCAGTACTCACTTGTGATACTGGTAATTGCAAGTGTGAGCTTAAAGTGTAGCTTGTGACTTGAGAGCGGTTAGCTCAGAGAGTGAGTTAGAGTGAAGTAGCTAGGTAGACTGAAGTAAGATCAGACTGCCGTACTACGCTGTATTGCTCTGGTATTTATACATGTGGGACCAGGCCCCCGGGTACTACTGGTAGTACACCTAACACCTAGGCTGACTGATGCTC